CAGTTCACTCCTGGAGGTCAGCGCGTGACCCACTGTATGTGCTCCCAGACGGGCCGGCACCTGGCCTCGTTTACCCGTGCGCCTGGCTCGAGTTTGTACACACTGACTACTGTGTCCCCTCAGGTCGCTGCGTCTGCGTCTGCGTCAAGTCAGCTACCGGCCCCCTGCTCGTGTCGCGCTTTGTCGCACCAGACCCTCCTTTGGCACCACCGCCTTGGTCACCCCTCGGTGCAGCGCCTTCGTAGCATGCACCGCCGTGTCCTTGTCTCTGGTCTTCCCAGGGTTCTCCCTCCCCTCCCACCCTCGCCTGCTCCTCCCTGTCTTCCCTGTGTCGAGGGGCGGCAGCGCGCCGCTCCTCACTCCTCCTCGTTCCCTCCCACAGAGGCTCCCCTGCAGACTCTCCACCTGGACGTGTGGGGCCCAACCCGCGTCCGTGGACATGGCCACGAGCGGTACTTCCTGCTGGTCGTCGACGACTACACACGTTACACCACGGTCTTCCCCTTGCAGCGCAAGGGGGAGGTCCCTGATGTTTTGATCCCCTGGATCCGCGCTGTTCGTCTCCAGCTCCGCGAGCGGTTCCACTCGGAATTTCCTGTCCTGCGTCTGCATTCTGACAGAGGTGGTGAGTTCTCCTCCGACCTCTTGGCAGCCTTCTGTGCGGAGCACTGCATCCGTCAGACGTTCACGCTTCCGGCCTCTCCTCAGCAGAATGGGGTTGCTGAGCGCCGCATTGGCTTAGTCATGGAGGTCGCTCGTACCTCCATGATCCATGCGGCTGCCCCCCATTTTATGTGGCCGTTTGCGGTCCGGTACGCCGCGCATCAGCTCAACCTCTGGCCCCGTGTCTCCTTACCGGAGACCTCGCCCACACTGCTGTGGACGGGGAAGGTTGGCGATGCGTCGCGTTTCTGGGTCTGGGGTGCTCGTGCCTTTGTCCGCGATACCACCGCGGACAAGCTCTCCGCCCGCGCTGTTCCCTGTGTCTTCCTTGGCTTTGTCCCTGACGCGCCTGGTTGGCAGTTTTACCACCCCACCTCGCGCCGTGTCTTTCCCTCTCAGGACGTCACGTTCGACGAGTCGGTTCCCTTTTACCATCTCTTCCCCTACCGCACTGCCCCTCTCCCCCCCCCCCCCCGCCGCTCTTCCTCGCTCCAGGTGCTCCCCAGGTAGACCCCCTCCCCGCTCCCGGTCCTACTCCTACAGGTGTGTCTCAGGTAGACCCTTCTCCCTTGACTGCGCCGGTTGAGGTCACGGGTGACTCAGGTCTTGCTGAGGGTGGTCCTGCTCAGGGTGCTGCTTCTGGGGGTGCTGAGCCTGGGGGTGCGGAGCCTGGGGGTGCTGAGCCTGGGGGTGCGGAGCCTGGGGGTGAGGAGCCTGGGGGTGCGGAGACTGGAGGTGCTGAGCCTGGGCGTGAGGAGTCTGGGGGTGCTGAGCCTGGGGGTACTGAGTCTGGGGGTGCTGCACCTGGGGGCGCTGAGGCGTCTGGTGAGCAGTCTACCTGGAGCGGCCGTCTCCGTAGTCGCTCCGCTGGTGCCTCGCCGCTGCACTCTCGTCGTCGACTCCCTCTCTCCCCATAGCAGCTGCGTGAGTGGTACGTTGGCCGTCAGGGTCGCGCTCCTGGAGCTAGGGGCCCTGCTGCGGGAGGCGCTGGAGCTGGTGACTCTGCTACTGGAGTTGTTTCTGCTGGAGGTTCTGGTGCTGCTGCGGGTGCTGGCGCTGAGGGTTCTGAGTCTGCTGTTGCGGGGTCTCCTTGGAGTAGCCGCCTTCGTCCGCGTGTGCCTCTCACCTCACAGCAGCTGCACGACTGGTACGGTCGCCGTCAGGGTCGCGCTTCTGTTCCTCGGGGCTCTGCCGCTGGAGGTACTACTGCTGACGTCACTGGAGCTGGGAGTGGTGCTGGTCCCGGAGGTGCTCGTACTGGAGGTACTGGAGCTGCTGGGGCTGGAGGTGCTGAGCCTGCAGGTGCTACTGCTGGAGACCCTGGGTCTGGGGGTGCTGCTGCTGGAGACCCTAGGACTGGAGGTGTCGGTTCTGGGGGTGCTGCTGCTGGTGGAGCTGGTCCTGGAGGAGCTGGCGCTGGGGGTTCTGGAGCTGCTGGCGGTGCTGGAGCTGCTGGTGCTGGTGGCACTGCACGGCCGCGCCTGTTCTTTGCTCCGCCGTCTCGGTCGTCTCAGCCACCGTCTGACTCTGTGCTTCGCCAGGTTCTTAGTCTCCTTTCGTCTACTGGTCTTCCGTTACAGCCTGGCTCACCGCTGCCTGCTCCTTCTCCTTACACTGAGCAGACAGGGGGCCTTATTGAGCGTCGTGAGCCTGCGTCGCGTCCTGTCTCGCCTGTCCGTTCTTGTCGTCCCGGTCGACGTGTTCCTCGTTCGCTTCAGCCGGCTGTCCCCGGCACCCACCTCGTAGTCCGTCGTCCTTCCTCTTCTCCGCAGCGTGTTCCCCTGCCGTCCCCTCCTACGTCTTCTCTGCCTACCGTTCCTGAGCCTGAGTCTGACCACACCCGTGCTGCTCACTCTACTGTCACGCGTCTGCTAGCCACAGTTGTCACTGACCCGTCGTTTGAGTCTGCTGCTGCGTCTGCCTTAGTCACTGAGCTTGATGACTTTGCTGCTGCCTGTCGTCTAGACTACGCCGCTAGTCTTGTTGCTGAGTCTGAGTCTGTCTGTCCTCCGTCCGTCGGGGGTGAGTGTGCTCTTGGCACGGACAGGCACGAGGACCTTCAGTGTCTTGCAGCCGCTGCGCCTCATCTCGTGTCCATGCTGCTTGCCCCTGAGGGAGACCCGGATGCTCCAAACATCCCGACCCCGCGCTCTTACGATGAGGCGATCGCGGGTGAGTACTCCTCTCAGTGGCAGACAGCCATGGACGCAGAGATGGCATCCTGGAAGTCCACAGGCACCTACGTCGACGAGGTTCCCCCTCCTGGGGCGAACATCGTCAGTGGCATGTGGATTTTCAGGATGAAGCGGCCGCCAGGTTCTCCGCCTGTCTTCAAGGCTCGTTACGTTGCTCGAGGTTTCAGTCAGCGAGAGGGAGTTGACTTCTTCCAGACCTTCTCCCCCACCCCGAAGTTGACCACTCTTCGGGTGCTGCTGCATGTTGCCGCTCAGCGTGACTACGAGCTTCACTCTCTTGACTTCAGCACAACTTTCTTACAGGGCAGCCTGCACGAGGAGATCTGGCTGCGCCGCCCTCCTGGCTTCACTGGGTCATTCCCTCCTGGTACCCAGTAGAGCCTCCGGCGGCCGGTCTACGGTCTCCGCCAGGCGCCACGTGAGTGGCACGACACACTGAGGACGACACTTGCGGCTCTTGGTTTCACGCCTTCTATTGCTGACCCGTCGCTATTTCTGCGCACCGACACTTCGCTGCCGCCGTTCTACATCCTCGTGTACGTCGACGACTTGGTCTTTGCCACTGCTAACACTGAGGCTCTCGCCCTGGTGAAGTCGGAGCTGCAGAAGAGACACACGTGCGCAGACCTGGGTGAGCTGCGCAGCTACCTTGGCTTGCAGATCACCCGGGACAGAGCACGCCGCACCATCACACTGACTCAGTCACACATGGTTCAGCAGGTCCTTCAGCGCTTCCGCTTCACCTGGTCCTCGGCACAGGCCACTCCTCTGGCTACAGGTAACTCGCTCTCAGCTCCACCTTCGGACGAGTCCGTAGAGCCAAGTGGTCCTTACCCAGAGCTAGTGGGCTGCCCCATGTACCTGATGACCTGCACTCGTCCTGACCTTGCGTACCCTCTTGGCCTTCTGGCTCGCTACGTGGCTCCTGGCCGGCACCGAAAGGTGCACATGGATGCTGCTAAGAGGGTACTGCGCTACTTGTGCAGTACGTCGGGCATCGGGCTCGTGCTTGGAGGACGTGGCGACGTTGTCCTCACTGGGCACTCGGACGCTTCTTGGGTTGACGACCAGGCTACGCAGCGGTCGTCACAGGGATACACCTTCAGCCTTGGCTCTGGCTCTGTTTCTTGGCGGTCTACACGCTCGTCCTCTGTTCTCGGCTCCAGTTGTGAGGCTGAGATCTACGCCACAGCCATGGCTACACAGGAGTTACGCTGGCTCACCTACCTACTGACCGACCTGGGAGAGAGGCCTCGTTCTCCTCCAGTGCTGTACGTCGACAACAAGGCCGCCATTGCCTTGTGTCAGGAGCACAGACTGGAGCACAGAACGAAGCACATCGCTCTGCGTTACTTCCTGGCTCGAGAGTTGCAGCAGCGTGGTCAGCTTCGTCTTGCTCACGTGGCCACTCGGGCCAACACTGCTGATATATTCACCAAGGCGCTTCCGTCTGGTTTTTGCACTCTGTTAGGCCTTGTGCCCATGTTTCCTCACTTGCTGTAGACTTTGCTTGTACTGTGATCTATATATATACCTGCATGCTTGCCCTGCTAGGTAGAGATCACTGTGCTGTTGTTGTTGCATATATAACTCTGCATGTGAACTGCCCATGTGGCCCTTTGCTTGTGCTCAGTGTGTGTGGTGACGTTATGATCCACCCTGAGCTTGCTTTGCTTCTCTTGACTGGTCTTGTGACCTCTTGCTCTCCCCCATTTTGCCTATGGAGGTGTGTCAAAGTATATGCATGTTATATATGTGTAGGCTGTAGTGGGGTAGCCAATATGGGGTACAGCCCCGTTTAGGGTTTCATACTTGTACCCAACTCTTTCATAGTTCATTCATTCCTGCTGCTAGATTCTAACAACAGTAACTCGCGACTATTGCCATTCTAGACAGTTACCATGTTGCACTTCGCAACTGCCTTGTGCGGTTACTGGGTAGTCAAGGGTCACGACCGTTGACTGTCTTCGACTGTTGACCTTCGGGTGACCCTCAACCTTCCTCCTGTTTGGCGAATAAACTGCCTTACCTCCCCTTACTTCCCTCTCTTCAGTCGCAGACCCTAAGGACATGCGCGCTCGGCGTCACACACGCTGCATCACCCCGTCTTAGTCGCAGGGTCTCACATACCCTTTCGCAACCATGTTTACAGCGCGCAGAAAGATTCAGAAGGAGAAGGGTCAGGAGCCCGATGAGTTCGAGGAAACCGTCGCTCAGGCCCTCTTCGATTTGGAGGCAACCAATCAGGAGCTGAAGAGCGACCTGCGCGATCTCTTCATCAACAGCGCCAAGGAGATCGACGTGTCGAGCAGCCGCAAGGCCGTGATCGTGCACGTGCCGTACCGCCTGCGCAAGGCGTTCCAGAAGATCCACGCGCGCCTCGTGGGGAGCTCGAGAAGAAGTTCAGCGGCAAGGATGTAGTGCTTGTCGCCACGCGTCGCATCCTCCCGAAGCCCCGCAAGGGCTCCAAGGTGGTGCGGCCGCGCACGCGCACGCTGACGGCGGTGCACGAGGCGATCCTGGAGGACCTCGTCTTCCCCACGGAGATCGTTGGCAAGCGCGTTCGCTTCCGGTTGGACGGCTCCCGCATCATGAAGGTGTACCTGGATCCTAAGGAGCGCAACAGCACCGAGTACAAGGTGGAGACTTTCTCTGCTGCCTACAAGAAGCTCACCGGCAAGGATGTCGTCTTCGAGTTCCCCATCACCGAGGCTGCTGCCTAAGTGCCGTCTAAGTTCTGTCCAAGTTCTTTCATGTGCCCATGGCTGCTGCCTAAGTGACACCAAAGCGCCAGCTCACTCTTCACTTACCTCCCAGCGGTGGCAAGCAGCAGGAAGCCAAAAGTGTGCGTTTTTAGGGAGAGTGCGTGTTCAATGCTGCTGCTGTCATTTGGAAGTATGTAGTCTGCTGATTGGCTCAATATTTCAAAAGCTCTGATACCATGTCAGAAGTACGAGTAGAAAGTTTAGAACAAGAAAGAGGGGTTTCACTAGCAGCAGTTGGGATACAAATAGCAAACCCTAAATGGGCTGTACTCGCTATAGAGCACCCCACTGCAGGCTAGATAATATAACATTCTGACATATATGAGCTATTGCGGTACTAGTAGAGGCGTTCACTTCGTTATGGAGTGACGCAAGAGTGGAGAACCTTCGGGAATGTTTATGATAACCTTTCGGTTATTTCAACACTAACCGTCATTCCTGAAGGTGGGCCACGTGGGACTTCTTGGTGATCCCGCAAAGGTTGGCGCAGTGCTGGAACTGTTGACGTGGCAGTTTCTTTGTCAGGAAGTCAGCTGCCATGTCACCAGTCAGGCAGTACGTGAGCTTGACCTTGCCCTTGTCGATTTCGTCCTTGACGAAGAAGTAGCGAAGGGCGATGTGTTTCGTGCGGTTCACGAAGTCGGGCTTGTTCGCGATCTTGATCGCGCTCTGGATGTCGCAGAGTAACGTGAAGTGCCCGTTCATCGTTACTTTCGCATCCTGCAGAAGCTCCATCAGGTACAATCCTTCGCGAACAGCTGCGCTAGCGGCGATGAATTCTGCTTCGGCTGACGAAAGGGCGATGAGTTCCTGCTTCTGAGAGTTCCACGAGATGAAAAATGAATCCTGTGCGGGAGCGTCTGTTGTCAACATCTCCCGCATGGTCAGCGTCTACGTAGCCGTGCAGCTGCAGGGTAGCTGTTAAGTTAGCTTCGTAGGTGAGGCCGACGTCGGGAGTAGAGATGAAGTATTGAAGTGTGCGGCGTAGATCCTGTAGATTCTCCCCTTCAGGTCGCTTCATGTACTGAGCGAGCTGGCTTGCGACGTAGGAGAGATCGGGCCGGCACGTGACGGCGGCGAACAGGAGGCATCCCAGCTGCTGCTGATAGAGCCGATGTTTCTTGAGAGAGAGGGGCGTGGTGTCCGGTTCGTGTGTAGGAGGAGGAGTGCAAAAGGGGGTGGAGAGGTTGATGGGTGCAATGCCGAATTTCCTTCGCGAGTGTCTTGGCATACTTTGCGGCGGAGAGGTGAATGGAGGAAGCAGACTGGGTGATGTTGAGACCCAGGAACCGAGTGACGTCGTGGTTGACGGTGACCTCTAGCTGCTTCTTTATATCCGCTTCGAACTGGTCCAGTAGCTCCGTGTCGTCGCCGGTGTAGAGGAGGTCGTCGACGTAGGCGACGAGGAGGAAGAATTTGCCGCGCGACTCCTTCCTGTACATGCCGAGGTCGTGGGGCAGCTGTTGGAAGCCGAGGTTCGTGAGCACCGTGTGGAGGTACTGCTGCCACAGGCGAGGTGCTTGATTGATCCCGTAGAGGGATTTCTGGAGCAGGCAAACGGCGCCGTCGTTCTCTTCGAAGGCGTGCGGCTGCTCGACGAAGATGATTGCGTCGACCGGAGCGTATAAGAATGTGCTGCCGACGACGATCTGGCGGAGTGGGCGCTGCTTGACGGCTGCGATGCAGATGAGAATCCACACTGAGGTGTGCCGTCCCACTGGTGCGTAGGTGAGGTCGAAATCCACCATGTGTGTTTGCTCGAAGCCGCGCACCACCCATCGCACTTTGTATTTATCGATGGAACCATCCGCCAGTGTTTTGATGCGGAACACCCATTTTCCGCTGAGAATTTTTCTCCCCTTCGCAGATGTTCGGGGAACGAGCTTCCAGGTGCCACGGCTCTTGAGCGACGCTATCTCCTTGGCCATGGCTGCCTTCCATTTCTCACTGTCGGAGCCGGAGAGAGCCTGGCGAACAGTGGTGGGTTCCTTGAGGGAGGTGTGTCGAATAGCAACGGCGAGCCCAAGGATGCGGAGACCAGTTTCGTTGGTCTTTTCGTAGTGCAGGCGATCGTAGTCGTGGAAGCTGGTTACTTCGACCACGTCGTCGTCAATTTCGTTGCCGGGGCGGATGGAGTCTTGCGAGGTATTCGGCGGTGGTAACACGACATCGGGTGACTGGCGGGCGTCGCTGGTGAAGTTATGGGCTGCGCGAGTCGTATCATCGAGGTCAGGTTGGTGTAGAGGGATGAAGGTTGGAATTTGGAGCGGGCTTGTAAGGGGGATGTTGGGTGCGCTGTCAAAGTGTGTAACGTTTGCTGCATCCACATCTTCCGCCAGGTGTCCCTCGAAAACCCTTTCCGGTGCCCTGTCAGCTTCGCGGTGTTCGTTGAACAGTGGCAGAGTCAGTTTCTCGTAGAAGATGCAGTCACGTGATTTCGTCACTTCGTGTGTCGCGTAGTCCAGCACGATCCACGCCTTATATTCCTTTTCGATCCCGAGGTGGATGCCCCAGCGAGCCCGGTCAGTAAACTTTCATGTCCGTGCGGTGTGTGGCCTGTACTGTACCATGCGGCCGAACACCCGAAGCAGACGCGTGTCTGCTTTTCTGCCCGTCCACGCCCTGTAGGGAGAGTTGTTGTTCTCGAGGCTTCGGGAGGACAGTAAGTTGTGCAACCGGACTGCGTGGTTCATGGCGAACGGCCAATACCGAGTTGGGATGGCCGACTGCTTCATCAGGGCCCTCATCCTGGTGGCAAGGCTCCTGTTTGTCCGTTCTGCTACTCCTTGCTGCTCGTGAGCGTAGGGCAGGGACACCAGGTGCTCAATCCCTTTCTTCCTGAAGAGCTCCTTGAACTCGTCTGAGAAGAACTCCAGGGCTCCGTCTGTCTGCCAGCTTTTTAGCTTAAGTCCCGATTGTCGTTCAGCCCGCTTCATCCACGCGATGAAGCATTCGAAGGCAAGTGATCTGCAGTCGGTGTTGACAGCCCAGACGTGGCGAGTGCTTGCGTCGATGAAGGTTAGCGTGTAGTATTCGCCATCGAGCCCTTCCTGTGTTAGGCACATGAAGTCGCTGTAGACCTTCTCGAGCGGTTTGTAACGTTCATAGCCGGGCGGTAGGTCGGGGAAGGGCTTGTGGGCGAGCGATGCAGCAGGACACACTGTGCAGGGCGGGTTGTCGGAATCTGCGGTGAGGGAGCCTCCGCGGGGAAGGAGTAATGCTCCGTCGTCGAGGACGCCGACCTGCAGGGAGTTCTTGAGTGTTGTGTGAGAGGGATGCCCGAGCCGTTGATGCCAGATTTCTGGTTCCGCACGATAGCCGACTGTTTTCTGATAATATTTGTGTCTTGCTGCTTCGTCGTTTGCCTCCCCTTCAGGTCCTGCGTCAGCGGCGTCGTCGGTGTCGGCGGCGAACGCGTGAATTGACTTTCGTTCCAGAAGCGCGTGAGGAATACCAATGATGTCGTCGGTGTCGCCGGCGTCGACTTGGTCTCCGGTAACAAGCAGGCACTGGTTGGGCCAATCGCGAACTGGTAGGCCCTTCATGGGAATGCGGAAGTAGCTGTACTCGGCCCTGATGACTTCAATCTCCTGTGGACCTTGTTCTGGCGGCGGCGGCTCTTCGGTAGGTGCTGGTAATTCTGCTGCTTCGCCGAAGAGTTCGTAGGTTACTTCTTCTTCTTATTCTTCTTCCATTGGTTCTGGTGCGTCAGGGGCGTACTGATCCGGAAGAGGGGGTCCGCCCCAGCTGGTGCCGCGCGTTGCCCAGTAAGGATCGATTGCCGCGGTTTCTGCTGAGGGGAGTCCCGGAGCTTCGGGATAAGTGGGGGCACCTTCCCCCCATCCTCCTTCGCTTGTTGAGGTTCCCCATCCGCCTCCAGTTCCCCAGCCACCTCCGGTTCCCCAGTCGCCTCCGGTGTTGGCACCAGCATCTGTTGGAGCGGTGGCGTCGCCTCCGGATGCTGAGATAGTGTCCTGCCCTTCTGCCGCTGCCTCTTCTACCTGATCGGGTTCCTTTTTCCTCGCTTTCTTCAGTGACGGGCTTCGCAGGTGCTGACGTGCCGCTGTCTTCTTCCATTGTTGCAGGTCCAGTTTCAGCTGGGTTGGAAGTTGAGGCAGTCGGAACGAAACGAAGTCGCAGAAGGCCATCCGAGGCGGGACGCTCAAGGTCCATTTCGGTGGGTGTGACCAAGTCGGTGTCTCTGAAGGAGTTGTCTTCAGGAGCAGGGTGCGGTGAGAATCGCCGATGGTGCCTTGCGCTGAGAACTGCAGTACGAAGACACCGTCGTCATCAACCGCCTTGCCGATGTAAGTGTTGTTATAGAAGAGTTCGAAGGTCTTGTCTTTGCGATTGCTTCGAATGTCAACTCCGCATCGCATGAGTTGCGCCGAGGAAAGTAAGTTGTAGCGTAGATCTGGAGCGACAAGTACGTCACCAATGTGAATTGTGATTCGTGTGTCGTCAGCTTCAAGGAAGATCTCACCGATGTCGTATGCCTTGAGTGTGCCGTTGTTTGCTACTGTGATCTCGCAGGGTCGTCGCATGCGTCTTGAGTTGCTGATGAATGTTGGCGATCCCACCATGTGCTGTCCGCAGCAACTGTCCAGGTACTAGGTGTTGATGTTCTCGCGGTTCTGCCGCGCGATGCTGGCGATTTTCGGCGTAACCACGCGATCCCTTTCGCCGGTGTATGGCGAAAGAGCAAAGTAGCGGTTCGTCGAAATGCTGGGAGGTGATTCTGGTGTCGGCCGTGGCAGCTCGAAATCAGGTGGGTACCTTTGTGGTGAGTCGGTCCAGATAGAAGCAGTGGGATCGTTGTCTTGCCTAGGTGCAACAGGGTCAATGGGATCATCAAATGCGAATGTCACTCTATCGTAGTATCGATAACCTCTATTGCGACGAGCCATGCAGCTCATGATTGTCCCTTTGCCTTTGTCCTTGGTCGTAATGCGCGCAGGTGTCTGCGAAGTGCTTGCGACGGAGGGAGGCGAAACGGTGGTTGTTGCGGCGGGAGTCGGGGGAGCGGATGTCTGATGGTTTGAAGAGTTGTTGCGCCTTTCGTCGGCGGCTTTTCGCTTGTAGCGCCGATCGATAGTGTGTCCAGGCTTCTTGCAGTACTTGCAGAAGGTCCCCTTCTTTCCGTGCTGCTCTCCTTTAGATACTCCGACGTAGAAGACTAACTTCTCCCGCTTGGTGTTCTTCTCGTTGTACAGGTCGATTTCCTTTTGCTCGGAGAGAAGTGTAGCGCACAGAGCCGATTCGGAGACGGTTTCTTGAGCGCAGAGCAAGGATTGGCATTGACGCCAGTCGGGACCGAGACCAGAGAGAACCATCGAGACGAACATGTCGTCAGGGACGGATCCGCCGTACTTCTTGATGTGGTCGCGCAGATTGCGGCATCGATTGATATATGGTCCCGCTTTCTCCCCTTGATGCATTTTGACTGAAGTGAGCTGGCTCAGTAAGCGACTTATAGTAATTGGATCTGTTGCCATGTATGAGTTGCGCAGGTGCTCCCAAGAGGCGTACGCGGGCGCCCACTCTGTTTTGTAGGAGCGAATGCCGAGCTGTTCGTCGGGGGAGAGATTCCGGAGCAGAGTGGTGTACGCGAGAAGAGATTTGTGGTAATATTGATTCTTCTCTTGGATGGTGCCTTCCGTTGGAAACGGTAAGCTCCCGTCGTAGTACATCCAGATTTGCGCAGTTGTCGCAAGGAGCTCGAACTCGAAGCTCCAAGTGTAGAAGTCCTTTCTGTCAAAAGGAACGGATGTTTTCAGCTTCGATGTCAGAACGAATTTTGTCTTCATTGTTGCAATCGTGTCTGAGTGCACGCGTTGTTGACTGTCTTGCGCAGGAGCTGAAGCTTGACGGTTGTCAAGTGTAAATGACCTCTCGGAGTTGACGCGGCGGTCTTCTCCATGGAGAGGAAGTCCAGCAACTCCACGTGCATAGCTTGAGCCGTCAACGCTCATTGCTTGATGGCTCTCAAGGGCGTTGATGCGGGCGACCAGTTGCTCAACGAGAGCGGCGCTGACGGAGGTCACCGCAGATGGTGCAGTGGGTGTTGCTGGTGGTGGGCCTGGAGAGTCTGCGGTGGCTTTTCCTTCTGGAGCCATAGTGATGCAGAGCCTATTGATGCTGTAATGAGTAATTTATAAGAAGGTTGTTCTATCAAGGACAAGAACTTAGCAGGCTTTATAATCCACTCTAGCTCTCATACCATGATGTTATAACTTAGGATCGAAGTGAATAGGATAAAGTCGCCAAGTGTGAGAGAAAAGTACAGAGAGTCTCTGTAATGACCTTGTTAGAGAATTGAAAGAGAACAAGATGATTATAAGATAAGAGAACAAGGATATAAATAGCAATCTTAGCTAGCCATGTACTCTGAGGGGTACATCCCCTTATTGACCGAATTACATTGCTACAGTAACTCGCGACTATTGCCATTCTAGACAGTTACCATGTTGCACTTCGCAACTGCCTTGTGCAGTTACTGGGTAGTCAAGGGTCACGACCGTTGACTGTCTTCGACTGTTGACCTTCGGGTGACCCTCGACCTTCCGCGTGCTCTATATGAGCTATTGCGGTACTAGTACAGGCGTTCACTTCGTTATGGAGTGACGCGAGAATGGAGAACCTTCGGGAATGTTTATGATAACCTTTCGGTTATTTCAAAAAATCCATGCAGTTGCAAGTTCCATATTCTATCATGTTTTACAAAACGACCCACATACACTGGCAGTGTGCCTTTCTAGCATTAACAAGTTGAGTTCTGTCCAAGTTTCAAGCTGTAATAGTGTCGCACATATATAATACACACGCATAATTTTTGTTTGCAGCGAGAAAAATGTATCAGGCCGAATCGTCCCATTTTACGTCGTTTAGTTGAAAAAGGGTTACATCAGCTCTAGAAGTTGTTTTGCCCAGCCTAAGTCTTCAATATGTGGAGAAGTTTCCAGTTTGAGGCTTGGGGGTTTGCTATATCATTCTGATATTGAGTTTTGGTAGAACGGGTACCAACCTGCAACTTCAAGCTTTCAAAAAGCCCGCCAAACCCCAAAGCTGTCCGCGACGCCACGTCATCCGCATACGAGGATGTCATGAACTTCCTCCTGGGGGAAGCAAGTCGTCGTGAACGTGACGCCACCTCGAACCCCGGCGACAATCCCACAACTCCTTCCCTACCCATCCCCTTCCCACGTGCACCGCCTGCTTCTTCTGCCCACTTCATCCAGACTTATGACGCAGAACCGTACACGACCGATTCATACTTAGTCGGGATTCTCGAAGGTCAAGGGGGTTGTGCTTGGATGTAAAATCCATTTTCGAGGCCATCCTGCAGCAGAAAGGCAGTGCGTTCTCAACTCACTCTCTTGACTTGACCCCCCCTCTCCAGCATCGCACCACAGCCAAGCCCATTGTTAGCACCTTCCCTGCGTTTGCGCTGCGTGTCGCAACTACCTGCGTCAACTTGAACCCTCCCACTGCTGGGTGTTATTTTCGTGCGTCCCGTCGCCTCTTCGGTCGCCTCTCTCGTCCAACCAATTTACCCAGGATGACTTATCCCGCGGTCGCATCACACCAGCCACCAGAATATCCGGATTCCACTGTACCCTTCCCTGACTTCCCGGGCCGCCACAGCCTTTCCCCGGAGCTGGACCGTCAGATCTCGGAGCTGATCAGCGCGATGGAAGCGGCGCGAGAGGCCAGCGATCGCGTGCGGCGGCTGTTTTGCCGCTCGCTGTACCCGTGTATCAAGCGCGAGCTCGGATCTCTCCGCGAGGGGGGGCCGCCTGGAGATGCGAAAGTTGGCGGCGAGAACGGCGGTGAAGGCGGCGAGAACGGCGGTGAAGGCGGCGGGAAACGCGCAAGTACTCAGGGTGAGGAGGTCGGGAGGGCAGAACGGCTCGAAGACGACGGGGAGAACGGGCTGGATGGCAATTCAAAGGGGTCTTCCCTGATAGTGCATGATAATTCTCTTGGGATGGACAAGAGGGTGACGAGTGTATGGAGGTCAAAAGTACGGATCCCTACAGGTACCGAGCAGGAGGAGGAGGATAAGGCGGTGGAGGAGGTGGCGGAGGAGGTGGAGGAGGATGGGGGGGAGGAGGGGAAGGAGGACGAAAGGAAGGAGGAGGAGACCAGACAAGGGCTTGGCAGCAAAGAACCGACTAAGGTCGGATTGCCATATGGTAGAGGCGTTTCTGCCTCTGTTTTGCCATTTGGAGCGCCCATCGATGCCGTTGGAATTTCTGTGCCAGAGGCGGCTGAGGAGGAGAGTGGCGGCGAGAGGGTGGCGGGCAGGCTCGAAGGAGCGAGGAGGAGAGTTGAGCCGGCAAAGCATGGCGACGGCGCTGCTAGTGTACCTGCTGCTGTGAGTGCGTTTCCAGAGGCAGAGACAGGGAGCGCAAAGGAGGAGAAATGCCTGCGAGGCTTGGACGAGCAGCATGATGACATTGATGCAAGCGATACTGACTCGGAAGAGGACCACCATGTGCTCGATTCTCAAAGGAAGAGGAGTGATGGGCTGCCGGAGGGGGATAGCTGCACACCCAGCAGTGCCACTGCGGCTGCTGCAGCAACCATGGCTGCCTTGGAGCGGAAGCACGGTGCGAAGGGAAAATACCAGGTTGGTGGTGAATCTGCTATGAATCTCGAGGTGAGGGGGAAACGCCCCGGGGAGATGAAGAGTATGGGGCAGTATCGAGACGAGATTTTTTATCGAGACGAGGCTGAGACACGGGTGGCTGCTGATGTGGCTGTGATTGGAGATCTGCCTGTTGCTTCCAAGGGCGCAGGTGCAGTGAGTGTGGTAGTGGGGCATGCGGTGGGTGTGGGTGTGCATGCAGAGGCGAAAGGGGAGGGTGGGACTGGAGCAGCAGGTGCGGATGGGGCTGGAGCAGTGAGGGATTCAGGTGCAGCAGGAGAGGAAGTGATTGGTGGCAGTGCACGTGCGAGGAGGAGCAGCAGCACCAGCAGCAGCAGCAGGAGCAGCAGCGGTGGAGATGGAGTTGGTAGTGGGAGGGTGTGGCGCGGACGAGGGGATGGGGAGTCGTCACAGAAGCAGCAAGGCGGAGCTTTAAAGCAGACATGTCTTGCACGTCACTTCTCAGGAGGAAGCAGGCAGCGTGGCAATGCTTCCAGGAGTTCTGCCGTGCTTACTTCTGCTGCTGCTGGTGCTGGTGTTAATTCTGATGGTTCCGTTGATGCTGCTGGCGGGGGAAGAGAAGATAAGTTGGGTAGGAAGTCCTCAGTCTACGCAGGAAGCAGCATACGTGGGACTGTTTCTGGTGAAAAGTTTTCATGGGCCACTCGTACCGGCTCTGCTGCCCGATCTGCTTCTCGCTCCTTCACACATGGTCTAGGTAGCCTGCCACAGGCGAAACAGCAACCGGGAAGGAAGGAGGAGGAGAAGCAGACGGAACAGGCGGGGAATGAGAGCAAGCAGTATGTGCAGGAGCAGGAGCAGGAGCGCGAGCAGGGTAAGGAACAGGAGCTGGAGGTATTAGAGCAGAACATGCTGTGGGATGGTGACAGTATGGATCGGCAAAATTCGTTGCAGCAGCAGCAGGAGGAGGAGGAGGAGGTACAGAAGGAGCAGCAGGAGCAGGGACTGTTGCAGCAGAGGCAAGGGCATCAGGGGCAGGTGCTGTTGGATTTCGATGGCATGGACGAGGACGACGGGGCAAGGGGTGCACTTGGTGTTGTTGGTGCTGCTGGTGTGCGGCAGAGCAGCGAGAGGAAGAAACGAGGGGCAAATGGTGGAGCAACGACAGCAGAAGTGCTTGATGTTAGCATGGTTGGTTTAGGAGCAAGTGGTGCTGGTGAGTCAGGCAAAGGGCATAAGAGGTTCAAGGAAACAGGCATGAAGACTCAGCAGCAAGATAAGCCACAAGCACAGGTGCAACCACAACTGCAACCACCAGCACAAGTGCCACTGCCACCGCAAGCACTGCAAGCGCAGGTCTTACCTGGGCGGCCGCCCCTTCCCCGAACTGCAGGGACAGCAGCAGAACTGGGAGAGAAGCGGCAGGGAGGGGCGAAGACGTCACGTTGGAGGTGTGCCAAGACAGTTGGCAGCAGCACGGTTGCAGCGGCAGGCGGCACTGGTGCTGCAGGCGTGGGCAACTGTGACATTGATCTGCTCGACTCACCTGAGAGGGCTGCTTGGGATAGGATTGCTGGTGGCGGTGGTGTTGGTGCGGGTGCGAATGGAGTGAGGAAGCAGGGTGGGAGAAGAGGGGAGGGCGGAGCGAAAGGAGGGAGTGGTGGTGGTGCTGTTGGCGGTGGAGTTGGTGGTGGTGACGGCAGTGTCGCTGCTGGCGGTGGTGTTGCTGGTTGTGGCGACGGGAGTGGAAGTGGTGGTGGTGGTGGTGATGGAAGTGGTGTTAAGAAGATTCCTGGCGGTGCATTGCCAGCAGCAGCAGCATCAGCATCAGCAGCTGCAGCTGCAGCAAAAGCAGCGGCATTCCCTGAAGGTACAAGACGAACAGCAGCAAGCATACGAGCAGCAGCAAGGGGCGAGCCAGCTCCAGGCGAGGCAGCAGCAGCAGCAGCAACTGCAGAAGCATCAGCGTTCGACGCACTAGCACCCAGCCGGCTGGGCAGAGCCAGCGGGCCTCCCCCACCGTACAAATACGTGGACGTGGTTCGGAAGAAATCAGACCGTGAGGCGCTGCAGGCAGGTGAGTGTGAGACGTGCCGCAAGTTCTACGATGCGATTCTGGACGGGGATGTGGACGGTGTGATGGTGCCTCGCTGTGAGCAGCACCAGGAGGCGTCTCGGCACCGATATCGCTTCGCACCTCCGTCCACTCCCCCTGGGTTCTGGAATGTGGGGTTTGATTCTGATTTGTGATGGTTGGAGAGGGTCGGGTGTGGTAGGCTGGGATGGGAGTGGTGTGTGGATGTGGGTTGGCTTATCTCATTGAATGATATATTATGGTAATACAAAGAACATTGTGAACGCAACAGGCTACACCATGCTTGCCTAATTGCTCCAACAGGAGCTAGAACACACAACAACGTTAAAAGCAAATAGACAAATTAAGCAGAAAACAATATGCGATGGGACATAAGCCTCTTCTGGTAGCAGACAACTACTTTATCGAAACAAGACTGGAGTACACCCCTCCACCAGCCATCAGCTCATCATGCTTCCCCTGCTCCACCACCACTCCCTTCTGCATCACCACAATACAATCCGCATCCTTGATCGTAGACAACCTATGGGCAACGACTATGGTGGTGCGATTCTTCATTACCTTTTCCAGTGCTGTCTGCACCACCTTCTCACTCTCCGCATCCAGAGCTGACGTGGCCTCATCCAGCAGCAGCAGGCGCGGGTCACCAATGATGGCGCGAGCGATGGCGATGCGCTGCTTCTGCCCGCCGGAGATCTGCACGCCTCGCTCCCCCACCAGCGTGGCGTACCCCTGCGGCAGCCCCGATATGAACCCGTGCACATTCGCCGCCCGCGCCGCCTCCAGAATCTCCGCCTCGCTGATCTCCCCCCCGCTGGCGCCGCCGCTGCCGGCGCGGCCGTAGGCGATGTTGTCGCGGATGGAGATGTTGAAGAGCGCTGGCTCCTGGCTGACGAGCCCCATGTGTTGGCGCAGCCAGCGCAGGTTGAGAGCGGCGATGCTGCGGCCGTCCAGCAGCACGGCTCCGCTCTGCGGGTCGTAGAAGCGCTCCACCAGCGCCACCACCGTCGACTTGCCGCTGCCACTCTCCCCCACCAGCGCCACCGTCTGATAGAGAACGGGGAGAAGGGAGGGGGATGGGGAGGGGGTGCGGTGTTGACGAGCAGGGGAATGAGAATCAGAGACTAAAATAGAGGGACACTAGAGGGACACTGGGGGGACATTGGAGGAAAGGGTTGCTACGATCTACTTCAAGATATACGGGAGGAGGATAAATAGCCGACAAGAAACACAGTGGACAGCTAGCTCCTGTTTTATACTCAATCAGTGAATAGAGGGCCCCACAGGGCAGCTGCACACATGAGCACACAGAATCATCACACACACACACCTGACCAGACGGCACAGTCAGGTTGAAATCGACAAGAATGGGGATGTTGGGGCGAGCCGGGTACGCGAAGCACACGGCCTGGAACTGCACCTCGCCCAGCACCTCCTCCGGCTCCTCCCCTCCCGCCTCCAGGTCGATCTTTGACTGGCGGTCCAAAATGCGGAAAATGGAGTTCACTGCTGCCTGCACCGTGGGCATATCTGGGGCCAGTGCTGCTGCCTGGGCGATGCCTGTTGCTGTGAACACGATTGCAAAGAAGACCTGGCAGGGGGATGGAGGGTGCGTGGAGTGCAAATGTGTGTGTGGTGGGTACAGGGGAAGGGATGAGGCAAGCAAGAGATGGAGATGAAGGTAAGAAATATACAAGGAAAACGCATTAGAGAACACACAACAATCATTTTTGGAAGCCAACAGCATCGTGAACACACTTGCCGTCCCGATTACATCAGACCCCCCAACCGGCCTCAATCCACGCACCTGGAAAACGTCTTGAAACGTGGTTTTCCCCTGCTGTACGAGCTTCCCTCCGAACCAGAAGGCGAGGGAGTAGACGCCAAAGATAGAGAACTGAGCCACGGCCATGCCGATGCCGCTGACGTGGGCCTTGCGGATGCCGGCCCGGATGGGCGTGCTGCAGCGCTCGTTGTACAGCTCCTGCACGCGCTGCTCCGCTCCAAACGCCGCCACCGTGCGCATCGCACCCACCGCGTCGTTCGCCACCCGCGACGCCTCCTCAAACTTGACCTGGCACGAGTGGAGCACGGGCGGAGGTGCCAACAGGGGTCGAGCTTTGAAGAAGGAACAATCATGCAGAGACAACAAGCATGGAGGACACTGGCAGAACAAGACAAGATAGTGTCACGGGATGAGCCCTGCAAGAGACACTGCCTCCTCGCCTCTCTCCTCGTCTCTCTCCTCCCCCTCCACCTCCGTTCTGCTCTCATCCCTCCCATGCATCGCACCATCCCATGCAGCACAACACACCATCCCATGCAGCACAACACACCATCCCAAGCAGCTGAGTTCACCATGGCGTGTTCAGAAAAACCCCTTTAGGCGACTGCATCTGAGCAGTACCAGTGATAGCCAGCAGTGGTACAATGGCGAGAGTCACCAGCGACAGCTGCCAGTTGGCTCGTGACTTTCAAGTCGACTCACCAGTCACCCTCCCTCCTCCCACCCCCTCTCATCCGCTCCAGCACAGCACCCATTGCAGCGCACCAACCCATGCAGCACAGCGCACCAACCCATGCAGCACAGCGCACCTTGGCGTCTTCAGAGAACCCTTTCAGCGACTGCATCTGAGCAGCGCCAGTGATAGCCAGCAGCGGCACGATGGCGAGAATCACGAGCGACAGCTGCCAGTTGGCTCGGAACGCCAGCACGAGGCCCAGGATGACCGTTGCTAGGTTCTGCACCATCAGCGCCATCTGATCGCCCACCATTCCCCGCACCTGCGCCGCGTCCGTTGAGAGGCGCGCACCGATGGCACCGCTGGTGGGAGGAGGGGGGACAGGGGTGGTATTTAGTCAGAGACAGACAGAGATAGACAGAGACAGACAGAGACAGACACAGACAGACAGAGAGAGACAGAGACAGACAGAAAAAGACAGAGACAGACCGAGACAGACAGATATAGATAGAGACATACAGAGACAGACAGATAGACACCTAGAGAGGCAGAACCAGAGACAAGGAAAGCGACACGGGCGACGACTCACCTGGAGTTCTCATCCATGTCAAACCACCCTATCTCCTGCCGCAGCACAGACGAGAAGCAGAGCGCGCGCACGCGCCTGATCAGCGAGTACCCCACCACACCGAACAGCACCGTCTGGCACGCGATAGCCGCGCACGCGCTCGCTCCCAGCACCACAAACATGCCCGCCCAGAAATTCGCGTCGCTGCGCATCTGGGAGATGTCTGGGTTGTAGAAGGTGGTGATGATGTTGGAGAGGATGAGCGCGAAGAAGGGCATGATCACGCCGTGAGCGGCTGCTGCGATGGATCCGAGGATGGCATATGGCCACTCGGGCTTGTTCAGCATGGCCAGACGAGCCATTGGCGTGTCCTTGAATGCCACTTTCTTCTTCTCCTCCTCCTCCTCACCGTCCCCTCCCTCCCCTTCCTTTCCTCCCTTCCCAGCCTTCCCTTCGCCCTTCCCTCCTTTGCGCTTCCGCAGCAGTGAGCTGAAAAAGCCCCCACTGCCTGCCTTCTCACCCTGCTTCTCCCCCGCACCACTCTCCACATCTCTCCCCTCGCTCATCAACCCATCCTCCTCGTCCCCTCCCGCCATCTTCAAACCACCAACACCGTCCCCATCAACAGTACTAGCACCCTCAACCGGGGCCACCCTTGCTCCCGCTGCCTTCCCATTCTCCGCAACTGTTTGCAAAGCGCTCGAAGTTACACCCTCCTTCCCCTCCCCATTCACAACCGCCTCTCCCTTCTCATCTCCTCCTTCCTCCCCCTCCCCATGGCCCGGATCCGCCAGCTGCTGCAGGCGCACGAGTTGGGCGTAGGCGCCTTCAGGCTGGGCGAGCAGCGCAGCATGGGTGCCGGTCTGCACGACCTGCCCCCGCTGCAGCACGGCGATGCAGTGCGCGCGGCGCACGGTGGACAGGCGGTGGGCCACGACGAGCGTGGTGCGCGCGCCCATGAGCGCATCGAGCGCCGCTTGTACCAGCTTCTCGCTCTCCGCGTCCAATGCGGACGTCGCCTCGTCCAGCAGCAGCACCCGCGGATTCCGCAGAATCGCCCTCGCGATCGCCACCCGCTGCTTCTGCCCCCCCGACAGCTGCGTTCCCCTCTCCCCCACCTGCGTCTCGTAGCCCTGAAGAGGGGACGGTGAAGCAAAGGGCGGAAGCGAGGAGATTGGACGAAGGATAGATGGCAGCAGAAGCAGCGTGCGGAGGCGACAAGAAACGAGCAGAGTCACACACGGGACAAGCGAAAGAGAGTGCATATGGGGTGAAACGGAGAGAGATAGAGGGCGATAACGGGTTGTAAAAGCGTGCAAGAGGGAGGGAGGGAGCGAGAGGGCGCACGTTAGGCAGCGAGGAGATGAATTGGTGGATGTTGGCGAGGCGTGCGGCCTCTTGAATCTCCTGGTCGGTGGCGCCGTCCTTGCCATAAGCGATGTTCTGGCGGATGCTCGTGCCGAAGAGCGCTGGCTCCTGGCTGACGAGGCCCATGCGTTGGCGCAGCCAGCGCAGGTTGAGAGCGGCGATGCTGCGGCCGTCCAGCAGCACGGCTCCGCTCTGCGGGTCGTAGAATCGCTCCACCAGCGCCACCACCGTCGACTTGCCGCTGCCACTCTCCCCCACCAGCGCCATCGTCCGCCCCGCCGGCACCTGCAGGCTGAAGCTCTGAAAGATGGGCACGTCTGGGCGCGACGGGTACGCAAACGTCACCTCGCGCAGCTCCAGCGCCCCCTCGCACGTTGCTGGGCGCTCCCCCTCTGCGCTGCCGCTGTCTATCACCGGCTGTCGCTCCAATACCTCAAAGATCTTCCCCGCTGCCGCCTGCCCTGAGGCGAAGGCTGACACGTTGGGGGCTGCTTGCCCCAGCGACCTGCGGGGGTCAGAGGAGAGGAGAGGAGAGGAGAGGAGAGGAGAGGAGAGGAGTGGGGTGGGGGATAACGGGCAGGAGCTGAGAAACCTGAACACCACGGTGAAAACGGCAAAGAGCACTCACACCTACTTATCCCCACTCCCTCTTCTCCCACTCCCTACTCTCCCCCCACTCCCTCTTCTCCCCCGTCCCCCTCTCTCATCACTCACATGCCGCCAAGAGCACGGCAAGAGCACGGCAAGAGCACGGCAAGAGCACGGCAAGAGCACGGCAAGAGCACGGCAAGAGCACTCGCTACTCCTCCCTCGCTCCCTCCCTCTCCACCCGCCGTCCCTCCCTCCCACAGCACTCACATGCCGCCAATGAGCATGCCGAAGAGCGCGGTAAAAGCGTCCCCTCCGGTGTAGCTAGCATCGGCTATGAGCACTCGCTACTCCTCCCTCACTCCCTCCCTCCCACCGCACTCACATGCCGCCAATGAGCACTCACATGCCGCCAATGAGCACTCACATGCCGCCAATGAGCACGCCGAAGAGAACCGTGAAGACGTCTCCACCGGTGTAGCTGGCGTCGGCAATGAGCTTGGACCCGTACCACAGCGCGAGCGCGTACGAGGAGAACATGATGAGCACCGTGAACCCGATACCCGCCGCTGCGCCAACGCTCTGCTTCATGCCCTCTCGGAACGCCTTGTTGAGCTTCACTGTGTACTGCTGCACTGCCCTGTGCTCGCCCGTGAATGCCACCACCTGAGGCACATGGGTGGGAGATGTGGGAGGCGTGGGAGGGGTGCTTTGAGTCGACTCAAAAGCACGTGTGGGAGATGTGGGAGCATAGACGGGTGAGATAAGGCAGGGAAGAGCGACAGAGAGAGAGAGCGAGGGCGGGAAGAAAGAGGGGCAAAAGTGGAGGCGGAAAAAGGCGGAGTACAGAAGGAGGACGAGCAAAGGGAAAAGAGGAGTAAGGAAAGCATGAGGGGGAGAGAGGGAGAGGGCGGGAGAGAGGGCGGGAGAGAGGGCGGGCACTGACAGTGCGGATGGCGGAGACACACTCCTCCACAATGGTCCCCGCAGCAGCATACGCCTCCTGGCCCTTGTTGGACGACTTGCTCACGATCACCGTCAAGGCGGCGCCTGCCGCGGCCAGCAGCGGCAGCACGGCGAGCATCACGAGCGTCAGCTGCCAGCCCGCGATGAACGCCACCACGAACCCGCCCACGAACTGCGCCATAAACCGCAGGAATATGCCCACCTGTGGGGGAGGGGCGGGCGAGGGGATGGGGGAGGCGGGGAGAGGGAGAGCGAAGGGCGTGACTGAGAGGGCTGGTAGAAGCAGAAAAGGGTTTATGAACGTGCCTTCTGACTGCGACAAAAGCGGAGGAAAATGCCCACCTGCGGAGGCGCGGGGGATACGGCACTCATTTTCTCCCCCATGGCGGCCTGCACGCACCTTCTCGCCCATGGCGGCCTGCACGCACCTTCTCGCCCATGGCGGCCTGCACGCACCTTCTCGCCCATGGCGTCCTGCCCTTTACCTTTTCCCCCATGGCGTCCTGCACGAGCACGATGTCGCCCGACATGTGCCCGATGACCTCGCCCGTGCTGAGGCGCCGGTCGAAGTACGCCATGTCCTGCCGCAGCACCGCCGCCAGGTACCGCCGCCGCACACGCGCCGCCTGCCGCTCGCCCGTCGTCATCCAACACGCCATCTCTGCCCACGCGCGCACGGCACGGCACGCACGCGGGGACGACGGCGGGGAGGAAGGGTGAATTGGTTGCCGTTGATTGGAGAAGAAGCGGAGAGGAAACACGGTGATCAGAAAATCACGATGGGGCAAAAGCGGAGCGACGTTATAGCGCAATGGCGGGAAAGAAGGCGGGAAAGCGGGAATCAAAAGAGAACGAGAAGATGCGTGCACGAACCGAGATATGCGGCCGCGGCGGCTCCAATGGCCAAGTAAAGGAACTTGAGCGCGACCTGGAGAGTTCACGGAAAAGAGAGCGATAGAGAGAGAAAAAAAAAAACAGATTCGCGGGGGAACAATGAAAATCCCGTAAAACGGAGAGAGCACTGTGAGTGTCGTCTCGTCTTGTCGAGTAGTAAAGGCTTTTGCGAAAAGGACGCGGTTGAGAAGCAAGAGTGCTTCAGTCTCTCGTGATCAACAGGGGAAGAGAGGGCAAGTTAAAGCCAAGTTAAGAACAGAGTGAGTTAGAGCATGGGACTCACACTGGTGACGGCGTCCATGAGCTTATTGACGTCGGTGGAGTTCTGTCCGAATGCGTTCGTTAGCTCGCCGAAGAGCAGCGAGATCATGGGCATGGCCATGCCGAGCCCGACGGCGCTCACGGATCCCACGATCATGAGCAGAATGTCCCATTTATCCGCAAACTTGAACAGCTGCCAATAATACACCGGCGGTACGTCCTCTTCCTTCGCCGCTTCCTTGCTCTCTGCTAACTTCTTTTCATCGCCTGGCTCTAACGCCTCGTCGTTGGCTGCGCTCACCCCCGCGCGTTTCTTCTCGGCGGAAGTATCTGTTGCAGCTGTGGGATCGGACGTTTCATCGGCGAGGGCTTGACGGCCATTTTCGTCCGATTCACGAAGGGCTTCGAATTCCAATCCCATGATTGCTTTACCGAACCGCACCGAGAAGTCAGTGAATGAGACAACTAATGCATCAAGAAGAGAGTCTGTACTGTTCTAGTCCAACCGACCGTGTTAGGCGCCTCAGTTCAGATCTGATGGAAGTGTCGCGTACAGTGCTGTGATCTGGATGTTACTGTGCTAGAAGGATGTGGCTAGCATAGCAGGCATATGGTAAAGCAAATTCATCTGGTTGCTTTTGTATGCGTAAAGTGCGAGAGCTGAGTGAGCTGAGCAGAATTGCTGCCAGCAAGGCGAGCGAATAGGGACTGAATAGGTGAATGGAGGAACTCTGTGCAAGTCATTGGTGAAGCGGCGTGGCATGGCGGGAAAACTACAGTGTACAGTGCGGTGCGGTATCACGCATCTGGTCTTGGGAGTTTCGTGGAGGCACCAACACCAAGGCAAACAAGACTTGCGCTGCTGTCCAGGCCGAACCTCACCGACACGCTCGGTGCTGGTGCGGAAACCGCATGTCAGGCTAGGTCTCTCCAAAATATCTAGTGAAACATTTTTCAGGGTGTTGACATAACATTCCTTGGACAAGTAATGCCAGTAACTTGGATAGGAGTGCCATTCGGCCAATCAGTAGTACGTAAATTGCATACTACTAGCCCCAGCAGTCGTAACGAAAAGACGGAGTAGAACAACAAAACACTGGAGGTCATTGAAATTGTGCTCCCCGCTTTGCTGCCTATATCGCCACGTCACCATCAATCTCTACTGGAGGAACTGCGTGGCGTGAGGGTACTGTCAGATGAAGCTTCGCCAACTGTCGCCTCTTTGCTCCCTGCAGAACTTCAGTTGCCGAACAAGGCCGTAGCTGTGGAAACTGAATGCTGCCTTGTCTGTAACGCCTTTTGGTTATCTGGTAACTTTTCCAAGAAGGCTCGAGGTAATGTCTTATGACGTCATTCGAGGAACTGAGCAAGCACTATGCAGGTGTATAGTGTACAGCAGAGCTTCATGAGCAAACATTCATTGGGTGGCACTATCTGACGCAATGTTTGCCGCATCATCCATGACAAATCTCTCTTGCTCGCCACGCAATCAGGCTCCATCAGCTTTGACAAGCAACAACATTTCTTGAACTACAGAGGGGCAATCAACAGGCAAGGTGGAATTCGGGGGAAGCCAAACTTGCGTTCTTTCAGGCGTCGTGTCAGCTATCAATTTATACCACACGAAGAACACATGGGTCAGCTGCCAGGTGTACTTCAACGATGTCAGCAGCAAACGCGGAGCTGGATTGGGCATGATGATGATTCTTCTGCCTCCGTGTTCTTCCAACAGTAAAGGCGACTCGAAAAGGTTCTCGAGTCGGCTCGACTCGCAAAATTCTCGCAGAACAAATACACGCACAGTGCGACATTCTCTTGGTCCAGCCGATTGCCGCCATGTCCACCTTCGGGCTGCTTCTGATGGTTTCTTGTTCCAAGTTCCTTTTGTCAGCAGCAAGTTCTCCACATTTTTCGGCTCAGCGTAGTGTTCTTGTCCTCTTTTCTAGCCAACGTCAAGGCTTCGGGTCATGTCACAGGAAGACATCGCGGAGGAGCAGCTTATTACATAGAAGACACAGAACGTGTAAATCCGAAGCATGGAAGAGAGCGAAGCTGACGAAGATAGTCGTAAGCTAGTCTTAGCCAGGGAAAATGACCACACTGATGGCCAAAAACCTGACCCGGGAGATTCAACAACAAATCAGGAAGACCCCGAAGAGAAGAAGCTCCCACAAGATTCAAACGAGGAGAATGATTCGGAAGCCGCGCGAAAGGTTCACTTCTGGGAGCTCTTCAAGTTCGCGGACGGGTGGGACGTGCTCCTCATGCTATGCGGGTCAACGGCCGCCATAGGGCTGGGCGTCGCGTTTCCGCTCATCTCGCTGCTCTTCGGCGACCTCACGGACGCGTTCGGACAGAACTCCGCCGACCCTTCCGCGCTGCTCGACGCCGTCACTGACGTGCGCACTGAGGGGGGGAAGGGCGGGGAGGGGGGAAGTTGAATGATGGGGGACTGGTTGATTGGGGGATTCGACTGATAGGGAATCGATTTGACGGGAATTTGACTGACGGGGGATTTGACAGATTGTTGACTGACGGGGGTTCGCGGATGGGGATTGACGCATGCTTCGGTGTTTCAGTGGTCAGGCAAGTGGATAATTTTAAGCTGTGTGATGCGGTGGGGTTTGGAAAGGAAACCATGCTTCGCGTGATGCTGTACACACCAGCCTGACCATGTCTCCTGCCCAATTCACTTCTTTGTGAAGGCCGAGGAGTGGGTGAGAGCCGCGTTGGGATGAAACCGCACCTCCTAATTGTCTTCGTTCTGCCTTCTTCTTGCACCCCCCTCCGTGCTGCCTGAACTTCTCGCTGATTGCTCCGCAGGTGGCCATTAAGTTTGTATACCTGGCTATAGGCGCAGGTGTTGCAGGGTACATTGGTGAGTGCTGCGCCCCTGTGCATGTCCCCCGCAAAGGTTCCACACTTGTTCTCGCAGCAGCATCGCACGCACTCTCTTCTTCATTGCTCCTTCTTCTTTAATATTTATTCATTGCTCTTTGCTCATTGATATATCTTCAATCCTCGTTGTTCATTAATATTTCTTCAATTGCTCTTTACTCATTGATATATCTTCATTGCTCGTTCTTCATTAATATTTCTTCAATTGCTCTTTATTCATTGATATATCTTCACTGCTCCAAGCCAGCGTTCCCTTCCACTTGCCCCCTCCGCCCCGCCTCCCTGTCCCTTCCTGCTTAGCTGCTCGTTTCCATTCTTTTCACCACCCCGAGCTCTCACACAAATTCTGTTCCTCCATCGTTCCTCCCTTTCTTGGTCTTCCTAGAACTTTACATAACAGAAAAAACCCTATCCACCCACCCTCCCCTCCCTTCCCACTGCCCACCCACATATTCTCACTCCTCCCCGCCGTGCGCGCGTGTGTTCCGCGCGTGGGCAGAGATGGCGTGTTGGATGACGACGGGCGAGCGGCAGGCGGCGCGGGTGCGGCGGCGGTACCTGGCGGCGGTGCTGCGGCAGGACATGGCGTACTTCGACCGGCGGCTGAGCACGGGCGAGGTCATCGGGCACATGTCGGGCGACATCGTGCTCGTGCAGGACGCCATGGGCGAGAAGGTAAAGTGCAGGACGCCATGGGCGAGAAGGTGCGTGCAGGACGCCATGGGCGAGAAGGAGGGGTGGGGAGGGGAGAGGTGCGCGCAGGGGGCAAAAGGAAAGGGGGGGGGGGGGAAGGAGAAGAACTTCAAGCTGACTACTTGTCTCCTACTTTGTCCGTTCCTCCCATGTTCTACCCACGTTACCCCAAGCGCCCATAGAATATTCTTCGTCATCACATTCCTGCCCATAAAGAGCACCTCATTCTCCACCCCTCCTCCCTCTTCTCAGGTGGGCTCTTTCCTGCGCTACATGTCGCAGTTCGCGGGCGGGTTCATCACCGCGTTCCTGGCTTAGCAAGCCCTCTCACTCAAGCCCCCTCGTTCTCCTTCTCCCTTCCTCCCTCATCCCCTCCCCTTTCAAACCCCTCCTCCCTCCTCCCCCGTCCCAGGTGGGCTCGTTCCTGCGCTACATGGCGCAGTTCGCGGGCGGGTTCATCATCGCGTTCCTGGCGGGGTGGCAGCTGGCGCTGCTCATGCTCGCCACGCTGCCTCTGCTCGCGGGGGCGGGCGCCATGATGGCGCTCATGATCTCCATCTCCTCCTCCAAGGGGCAGATCGCGTACGGCGCTGCTGGAGTGATCGTGGAGGAGTGTGTCTCTGCAATTCGCACGGTGAGCTTAAGGGGATTCATGGTGTGGCATCGTGCCCTTTCCAGGCCCCATTTGGCTCCATTCGGCCCCATGTGGCCCATGAGGTCTCATGTCACGGCAGAGTATTAGGTTCCAACCCAAGCGCTGCAAGCAGAGCAGAGCATGCCTGTACATGGGCCTTACTCACCCGCAGCGCAGGTTTGTAGAGTGCGTTTGCTCATGTTACACCACATGGTAACATCACCATGACAGAAACGACATTCTGCATCGCCTGTGGATTATGACAAACACTGCAGCACAAGCACGTTCTCTTCCTCTGTACCTCTTTCCCCGACAACTCTCCCCGCAAACCCTTTCACCCCCACACTACTCTCCTCCCTGCTTCCATGTTCCTTACAACAACACTCTCCTTCTATGCTCTCTCGCTCCATACCACACCCACCCACCCCTCCCCTCCCCCCTCCCCTCCCAGGTGGCGGCATTCACGGGCGAGCACAGGGCGGTGCAGCAGTACTCGTTGAAGCTCAACAAGGCGTTTCGCGAGGGCGTGAAGCAGTCAGTAGCGGCGGGGGCGGGGCTGGGCGTGACGGTGTTCATCATGTTCTCCTCGTACGCGCTTGCGCTGTGGTACGGCTCCAAGATGATCGCCGATGCGGGCTACACGGGGGGAGACGTCTTCACCGTGCTGTTCGGCGTTATCATCGGCGGCGTGTGAGTGTGTGTGTGCTTCGGGAGGGTTGTGATAGGAGGGAGTGTGTGTTTTGGGGTGGCTGTGAGTGTGAGAATGGGGGATTGTGAGTTTGAGAATGGGGGATTGTGAGCGTGAGAATGGGGGGGGGTGAGTGTGAAAATGGGAGCTTGTGAGCGTGTCGATAGGGAGTTGTGAGTGTGGGAATGTGGGGCGTGGAGTATGAGGCGACTCAACCCCCCGGCTTCCCCTCTGTCACCCTCGCCCCTGCCCTTCCCGCAGATCTCTGGGGCAGGTGGCACCAGAAGTAACAGCCTTCGCCTCAGGGCAGGCAGCAGCGGGGAAGATCTTTGAGGTGCTGGAGAGGCAACCCCCGATAGACAGCAGCAGCGAGGAGGGGGAGCGGCCGGCGGTGTGCGAGGGGGCGCTGGAGCTGCGCGAGGTGACGTTTGCGTACCCGTCGCGCCCAGACGTGCCCATATTTCAGAGCTTCAGCCTGCAGGTGCCGGCGGGGCGGACGATGGCGCTGGTGGGGGAGAGTGGCAGCGGCAAGTCGACGGTGGTGGCGCTGGTGGAGCGATTCTACGACCCGCAGAGCGGAGCCGTGCTGCTGGACGGCCGCAGCATCGCCGCTCTCAACCTGCGCTGGCTGCGCCAAAACATGGGGCTCGTCAGCCAGGAGCCAGCGCTCTTCGGCACGAGCATCCGCCAGAACATCGCTTATGGCAAGGAGGGTGCCACCGATGAGGAGATCCGAGAGGCCGCACGCCTTGCCAACATCCACCACTTCATCGAGTCGCTGCCCAACGTACGTGCGCCTCTCTCTCCCTGGCTCTCTCTCTTCCTCCCTTCCTCCCTTCCTCTCTCTCTCGTGCTCTTTCTTGCAACCCCGAATCGCCCTCATGTGCCTCCCTTGCACCCCACACGTGCCCTCTTCCTTGTCTCCCGTGCACACCTGCTCGCGTCCTCTGCTTCATCCGTCTCTCTCCTCCTCACTCTTCCTTACCACCTCCCATGCCCCTCCTGGGCCCTGGCTTATAACCACAACCCCTGCCCCCCCTCCCCCAACCCTCAACACAGGGATACGAGACGCAGGTGGGGGAGCGCGGCACGCAGCTGTCGGGGGGGCAGAAGCAGCGGGTGGCGATCGCGAGGGCGATTCTGCGGAATCCGCGGGTGCTGCTGCTGGACGAGGCGACGTCCGCTTTGGACGCGGAGAGCGAGCAGGCGGTGCAGGCGGCGCTCGATGCGCTCATGGGCGCGCGCACCACGCTCGTCGTGGCGCACCGCCTGTCCACCGTGCGCCGCGCGCACTGCATCGCCGTGCTGCAGCGCGGGCAGGTTGTGCAGACCGGCACGCATGCCGCGCTGCTCGCCCAGCCGCAAGGCGCCTACGCCCAACTCGTGCGCCTGCAGCAGCTGGCGGGCGAAGGGGGGGGGGAGGAGGGGAAGGGGGAAGTGGGAGGGGGAGTGGAGGGGGGTGAGAAGGGAGGTTTGAGTTTGAGTCACGCCGGTGCTGATGCGAAGGGGGTCTCAGTTCCACAGGAAGCAGCATCAACGGGTGAAGCAGGGGTGGAAGGAGTGCTGGCAGGTGCTGTTGGTGTAGCCACGACTGGTGACGGTGGGACGAAGGGGACGGAAGGGGGGCAGGAAGGTGCGCGGATGAGCGAGGAAAGGGATGTGGAGAGCGGGAAGGGAGATGAGCAGGGGGAGGGGGAAGGGGAAGGGAAAGACCGAAGAGGCCTCTGTAGCAGGCTGCTGCGGCGAATGCGGAAGGGAGGGAAGGGAGGGAAGACAGGGAACGGAGAGGTCCACAAGGGGACCGAAGCGAAGGAAGAGGCAGGTGCGGAGGAGAAGGAGGAGGATGAGGAGGAGAAGAAAGAGAAGAAGCACACGTCGATCATCCGCCTGGCGACCCTCAACAAGCCCGAGTGGCCGTACGCGCTTGTCGGCACCATCTTCGCCGCATGCTACGGCTTCATCATCCCGTTCTTCGCGCTCATCCTCTCCAACATCATCACCACATTCTACCAGCCTGACCTCACCAAGATGCGCAGCGACGCCGACTTCTGGGCGTCGCTCTTCGTGGTGCTTGGGGCGTCAGCGTGCGTCACCTCCTTCTTCCAGTACATGTTCTTCGGCGTCGTGGGGAACGCGCTCATCCGCCGCGTGCGGGTCATGTGCTTTGCCACGGTGTTGCGGCAGGAGATCGGGTGGTTTGACATGGAGGAGAACTCCAGTGGGGCTATTGGGGCCAGGCTTGCTACTGATGCTGCGCAAGTGCGGAACATGGTGGGGGATCAGCTAGCCTTGATCGTGCAAAACACAGCAACGCTCTGCACGGGCTTGGTCATCGCGTTTCGAGCCAACTGGCAGTTGTCGCTGCTGGTGCTCGCTCTGATACCACTGCTAGCGATCGCGGGGACGATGCAGATTCGGGCGATTCAGGGGTTTGCAGATGATGCCAAGGAGCAGTTTCAGGAGGCGTCGCGGGTGGCGAACGACGCGGTGGGTGCGATGCGCACGGTGGCGGCGTTTGGAGCGGAGCAGCGCGTACAGGAGCTGTACAACGAGCGCTGCAGCACACCCATCCGGGCCGGCATCCGCAAGGCCCACGTCAGCGGCGCCGGGCTGGCGTTTGGGCAGTTTGCTATCTTTGCGGTGTATGCGCTGTCGTTCTGGTTCGGGGGGAAGCTCGTGGAATGGGGCTATGCGACCTTCACTGATGTCTTCCAGGTGCGTGCCATGTGTTGTGATGTGCTGTGCACCAGGCTCCATTGGCCATAGACGATGTGCAGCTGTTTCCATGCACCATGCACAATTCTCCATGCACCATGCACCATGCACCATGCACCATGCTCCATGCTCCGCGCACCTTGCACCATCATGCGCCATGCACATGTGCATGCGCCACTCTCCATGCACTTTACTCTGTGCTCCATGTACCATACACCATGCTCTATGCTCCAGCGACCTGCCTCATCCACCCTCCCACCTTATCTCGCACCTTTTCTCTCCAGGTGTTCTTCGCCATAGCCATGTCAGCAATGAGCGTGGCAAAGCAGTCCGCACTGGCCCCGGACATGGCCACGGTTCAGACAGCAGTGAACTCCATCTTCCGCATTCTGGACCGCCAGTCAAAGATCGACCTGGAGGCGGGAGGGGAGGAGCCCGAGGAGGTGCTGGGTGAGGTGCAGTTCCAGGCCGTGTGCTTCGCGTACCCGGCTCGACCCAGTGTTGTTGTGCTTCAGGACTTCAACCTGGTCGTTACTGCAGGCCAGGTGCGTGGGACTGGATTGCAGAATGGTAGAGGTACATTGTGCAGCAAATTCAGTGCAGGTGGACAGTTTCATAAGAAGAATAATGTCCACCATGTGTTCTTATTGAACCCCCCTCCCCTCCTCCCTTTTCTTCGATGTCCCTTTCTCCCTCGTCCCTGCTTCCCCCTTCTCCCAATATTCCCATGCAGACGGTGGCGCTGGTGGGGGAGAGTGGCAGCGGCAAGTCGACGGTGGTGGCGCTGGTGGAGCGCTTCTACGACCCGCAGAGCGGAGCCGTGCTGCTGGACGGCCGCAGCATCGCCGCTCTCAACCTGCGCTGGCTGCGCCAACACATGGGCCTCGTCAGCCAGGAGCCAGCGCTCTTCAACATCTCCATCCGCGACAACATCGCCTACGGCCGCGCCGGCAGCGGCGGCGCCAGCGGGGGGGAGATCAGCGAGGCGGAGATTGTGGAGGCGGCGCGGGCGGCGAATGTGCACGGGTTCATCTCGGGGCTGCCGCAGGGGTACGCCACGCTGGTGGGGGAGCGAGGCGTGCAGATCTCCGGCGGGCAGAAGCAGCGCATCGCCATCGCTCGCGCCATCATTGGTGACCCGCGCCTGCTGCTGCTGGATGAGGCCACGTCAGCTCTGGACGCGGAGAGTGAGAAGGTGGTGCAGACAGCACTAGAAAAGGTAATGAAGAATCGCACCACTCTAGTCATTGCACATAGGTTGTCGACCATTGTACATGCTGACAAAATTGTAGTGCTTCAGAATGGTAGTGTTGTGGAGGAAGGGAAACACGAGGAGTTGCTGGCGAAGGGTGGGGTCTATTCTTCCTTAGCTTGCTTGAAATAGCTAGAGTGTGTCATCCACATTATCTGGAGGCATTTAGTGTCCATAAATGTATATATGAGCGGAATATCTGTTCTGTATACCATATTGCTTTGAGCATCGGCAAGTGTATCGCATCGGGTAGGCACCTGACGAATAAACTAGTCTGATTGGTCTCACAATAATCTGTCTGACAGCCGTCGTTGTTGCCTGCAATCTCGCGTTTTCAATATTCCTAGCTGCCAATCAGCAACCAAAGCCGCAATAATTTATGGCGCGAAAATTACACCTCGCATCCGGGCCACTGAAATCTCCGTCCACCCTCCCTTGTCCATACTCGCCGTCCGTCAGATCTCACCGTCACCCGAACTAACCAGCCAGGCGCCAAACCTCTGGGGCCATTTCCCAAAAATCCCAACTGAACCGACATCGGTCCGCCAATACCGAAGTTCCATAGGCAAATCCCGATTTCCCCAAGTTCCCACCCTGGGAACTGCTCATTCCCAACCTTGGCGCGATTTTCCCCCAGAGTCACCACACTGGGTGGGGGAGGAGGGGAGGGAGGGAAGGCTTGTGATTGAAGGATTGGAGGGAAGACCAGTGAGAAGGCTCACATCCTCCCCTCCTTCCCCCTCCCTCTCTCTCCCCTCCCCCCTCCCCTTCCCGAAAACCACCCCTCTGGTCGTTCCTTCCCTATTTTCATCACCCATCTCTGAGTTGTCTGGTCCATTCTCATTCACGATTTCAAAAACTGGCCGTGGCTTGCTGGCGGCTCGTCCGGACCGACCATCACCTGGCGGTTTCCTGAAATCCCTCCAGGGAACAGGCGCTTTTTCTGAGCGTGGATGATACTAAATCCAGTCGTCAGTTCAGTCGGAAGATGCATCAGACAGACCGCTGATGCAGGAACAGAGTGAGAGTACTAGGAGGCGACTTTGAAACCAGGTCCAAGAGTCTCAAAGCAAAACGTCTCTCCTTTCAATAGGTGTTTGAGAGTATCAGGACGCGACAATGGGCCCGGTAACGCCTCAGCGAAGTGACTATGCGGCCATTGCGGGTGCAACACTGATCCTGGTTATTTTTCAAGCGTGCACGTCTGGTACGTCATGAAGACTACCTCGAACACGTTTGATCCACTGGCTCACGCTCATATCATCTTCATAGCTCGCGACCTCTGATCCTGTACTCTTTTGTGCTAGGATTCGCCAGTCGATCACTGGTATACCCCATTTTTCTAGGCTGTCTGATACAAACCACCATTGAAAACATGATGCTTCCCATTTCCTAGTTTCTTCATTGCTCTTGCCTCCTTCCCTCTCGTTCCTCCTTACCTACCTTGCATGCCTTGCCATCCCGGCCAGGTGCATTCGGTCAGACTCTACATGTGGGTGTACAGCCACTGCAGGGGGTTGCCTCCTCCTTCCTCTCCACAGGAGCCGCTAAGCTACATGCGCAAGCCACCAAGCCACCCATTCAAGTCGCCGCCAAGCTACCCACACCACCACCCATGCCCAAATCCATCTATGCTACCACCAAAGCCGCCAGCGTTAAGAAGCCTCCACCATCCAAAGCGCCAGCTAAGACGCCAACCAAAACACCAGCACCAGTGCTGAAGAAAAATCCTCCGATTCCCGTTGCGAAGCTGACTGCCGCTCCGCCAGCAAAACCACCGGCAAAGCCGCCGGTCAAGCCGCCGGCCAAGCCACCTGCCAGACCACCGCAGGTTCCGCCACCCAAGTCTCCCGTCAAGCCGGTAGTAAAGCCGCCGCCGGCTCCTCTCCGGCTGACGCCGATTGCGGCCGTGCAGCAGCCGCCATGGCCGTACTCCAGCATGAAGAACATCCCCCCTGACGTGCCGCCGCCGCCCTATCCTCCTGCTCCTCCTGCCCGTGAGTCAGGGCTCCGTGCCGTTCTCGCTTTCGCGCTCGCAAATTGTTGACCTGGATCGCTAAGGGAGGTAGAAGCGAGCTGGTTGGAAATGTGTTACTACTTAAGAGAGAGAAGCAGGTCTGGGAGGAGACGGTATGGTTCACTCGCCACACCTTCCTATCCGCGCAACATATCATTGTTTCTCCCCTGCGCTGTTTACATCGATCTTCTTGTAGCTCTCTCCCGTTTCTTTCTAAAACTCGCCCGCTTCTTCCTTCCGCTTGCCCGTTCTCCCGCGCAGTGCGCGTGCCGAACGTGGGAGTGATCACGAACATCATGGACGTGTGCCGCGTGTGCTCCGCGCTCCCGTACGACGGCGCGTGCTACAGCGACTACGTGTCGACGTGCGTGGCCGCCATGAATCAGCTGCGGCGGAACGTGTGGAAGGTGCCAGACCAAGTATGCGACTGCTACAGCGCCATCGCTAGCCAGATGATCCGCATCTGCCCCGGGATCGACCGCCGCGTCGCCTACGTCCGAAACTGCGACTCTTACGTGCGTTCCCTTATCCCCCCTTTTTCACCCATCCTTCTCCCCCTCACACCCTCACCCGTTTGATCCCCGCTTGCTGCTGCAGTTCACAGTCATTCCTTGTGACCTCCGTTCTTGACCGTTATATCCATCCTTGCCTGCTGCACCCACCACCCACCCTCCAGCCATCCTGTTTATATGCTGAGTCATTCGGTTATCTCTCCGTTGACCACTTCTCCCCCTCCTTGCGCCCCTCGCCGCCATATCCCACCGCAGTGCTTTTACGGCGCTCGCTGCACGTTCGTGCCAACCCTGTACGCGTTGCTGACGCCCCAACACGTGGTCACCACTGGCAACTCCACTGGTACGACCCGCGCCTCCCTTCCTTCCTCCCACTTCCTACCTCCACTTCCTCCCTCCACTTCCTCCCTCCACTTTCCCCGTCCCACTTTCCCCCTCCCGCTTTCCCCCTCCCACTTTCCCCCTCCCACTTTCCGCCTCCCACTTTCCGCCTCCCACTTTCCCCCTCCCCCTTTACCTCCCAATTCCCCGTCTCTGCCCCCTCCCCACTCAACATGCGCCAACTTAAGCACGCAAATGCTGCACAGTCGAAAGCCCGAACATCACTGGCACTGCTCCCTCGTGCTCCCCACCCTCCTTATCGCCATATCCGCTGCTCCATCCTTCAGATCCCCCCAATTACATCGTCGTTACCTCCCTCCCTCCCTTCCGCCACCCCCTCCCATCTCCACTCCCCTCGCCCCTGACTTATCCGCCCATCTGTTCCCTCGCCTGCACGTGCCCTCTTGCCATTGTCGTCCCCCCATGTCTCTCCAGACGCCCCATCTGGACGCGGAGTGGCAGTACTAGACCTACAGCCCAACATGACAGCCATGGCTGGAGTGAACTTCCTCATCCAGCTCTCCTCCGCACCCGCCGCCTCCTCCTCCTCCTCCACCTCCTCCTCTTCCACCGCTCCCACTGCCCCCCTCCAAATAACGGGGGCCAGCGTGTACAATTCGATAATGGGCTCCGAAGGGCCGCTGACACTCCCGCTGCTGGCGGCGCAGGCAAATCAGACGATGGGATCGGACGGGACAGGGCGGGTGGATACGGCGCTGGGGCTGCTGCAGCGCATGACTCTAGAGCCGTATAGTTTCTATATCCAGGTGGATACCCCTGCGGGCAGCCTGCGCGGGCAGCTGGTGTTCTCCCCACACCTGTTCAGCCTTGCCACGTCCAGGAACGTGCCCACGAGCTGCGCGAGCGGGGATTGCATGGCCATTGTAGACCTTGATATCTCGCCCACCAAGTATGTCGCTCGCTTGCCCTTTCTCCCGCAAGCCCTTGCTCGCGCTCGCCCTTGCTTGCGCTCCTTTTTGAAGCACCTCCGAAATTAGCAAGCTGTGTGGTGGGGATAGCCCCAGCATGTGCTGCAACATCCCCCACATGCATCATCTCCGCTCCCTCCGCCCCTATCGCCTCTCCACCGCCTCCCCATTCCCCACCGTCATGCTTCTCGTTTGCATGCTCGTCCGTCATAGCAGACTCGTTAGGCGCCCTATTCTTCTTCAACAGATGCTGCATCATCATCATCCCCTCACCTGCATCCCGTCCCCTCCTTCCTCCCCACTCCCCACTCCCTACTACCCACTCCCGACTCCCCACTCCCCAGCATCGTGTACTCATTTGCGTACTCATCAGGGGTGGCGGGCATCATAGGCGCGTCAGTGATCCAAGGAGTAGCAGGCTCGTCCGGTGCGCGCCTCTTTGACTTCTTCTGGCCGGGCGCCAACGCGCCCTCCTTCACCAATGGCGTCACGCCACCTGTCACGGCCATCCAGTCGCTGCTGACGGCGCCCCAGGCGCACTACATCTACTTCACCACGCAGCTCATGCCGTGTATGTAGCGCGTTGGGTGTAGCGTGCACAGCTGTGTGAGTGCAACCTTTGAGGCACCTCAAAGGACATGTACTTCACCACGCAGCTCATGCCATGTATGTAGCCCAGTGTGTCGCATGTTGTTTGTTCAGCCGTGTGACTGTGGCCTTGGAGGTGCCCAAAAAGTCCTCTCAGCTATCACTTAAGATGCTGCAGAATTCGTCCCACGCACACTACGTCTACTTGACCACGCAGCTCATGCCATGTATGTTGTATGTCTGTGTTGCGCTGTGACGACTGTGGTCTTGACACATGTTTTGCTTTCGTTCCGCGGTGTGTGCCACTCCTCTTCAAGCTTCTGCTGGTGCGATTCTCCTCGTGTTCCTTCCCCCGGTCATGCCCCACTACTTCTCTGACTTGTTTACCCTTGTCCACCCATGTCCTCACTGTAAACTTCCACTTCCCTGCAACCCTTCTGACTTCCCTCATCTCTCCCTTTCAGTCAGGGCCCTGAGGGGGAAGTTCCAGGACACGATGTACGTGACAGCAGTGATGTACTGCGCCAGTGTCGTCAACCCCCCTTCATCCCCCCATTTCCCCCTGTTTCCCATTCTTCTCTTTCAGTCGGCGCGCTGCGAGGGCAGTTCCAGGACACGATGTACGTGACAGCAGTGATGTACGGCGCCGTGTGTCGTCAACTCTTTCTCTTCCATCCCCCTCGTTCCCTCTCCCCTGTTCATTCTTTGGCAGTCGGCGCGCTGAGGGGCCAGTTCCAGGACACAATGTACGTGACAGCAGTGATGTACGGCGCCAGTGTCGTCAACTTCCCCGGCACCACCGCGACACAGGGGCAGGGGTCGGGCGCACCGGGCATGGGCTTCTTTGATGCTGTGCTGGGCGGGGGCGGCATCTGCTACACCTTCCGCTTCTCCTCCTCTGTCAAGACTGACTGCAACTATGCCTACCTGCACCAGGTACCACCGAGTTTCACTTGATCCCTGCACTGCAACCCCTTTCGATCAGTGCAATCCCCCCCCTTCATGTCCATCCTACCCACACCTAGCCTCCATTCCCCATCCGCCTGTTCCATGTTGCAAATGAAGCCTGGGTAGCATTTGACTTTCGAGGCACCTCAAAGTCACCTCCATTTTCCGTCCTCCAACCCCCACCCCCCTGCGTCACCCCTCAGGGCGAGTTGAACAAGCGAGGCCCCATCTACCTGTATCAGACGCTGCGCATCATCCCCGGGCAGCAGCTGTGCGTGCCGGCAGACCCGGACATCACAGCCGCCATGGCTCTGCGCCCGCAGCGCTTCTACGTGCAGGCCTACTCCCTGCAGTTCCCCTACGGCGCTTTCCGCGGGCAACTGCACCCGGATAAACAGAGCAGTGGGCTGGCTGTCAGCTGAGTGGTTTGCGAGAAGTTTTATGAACACACGTGTTTGCAAGGGCATACTGAGTTTTTTTGTGATATGAATCAGATTTGACAAAAAGCAAGTCGCAGCATGAGTGAAGAGAGGATACTGTAAAGATTTGATCGACATTGTGACCAGGTCGCCACTCCAGGTGATGTTAGAGGCACTTCATAAAGTGGTTCCAGCCGACAGTGATCATGATGAGCAGTAGACTGTTGCTGCTGGGTACTGTGGGTGAGACATACCACAGCCAAGTTCTGGTAGGTACATGCTCGTTGCTGGTAGGGCACACATCGGTACCTTGAACCTCTTAATAAACGGTACTGCTGTCTGTAAATTGAACCTTCAGTTATGTAGTGCTGCAGTTGAAGGGGAGGATGGACCAGATGATTCAATATAGGAAGACGGAAACTCAACATAAAAAATGGTACACTAGTAAGACTCGTGACTCGTGACCCGGGTCAGGACTAATAAGGGCTAAGCAGCGGCCCGCGCAAGCTTGCACAGGCTCTTGAGCGCTCTCTGAGTTTCCCGGGGCAGAAGAATGCACCCACTCACACTCGCCTCAAACACCACCCCCGCGCCCCCCCTCTCACCCCCTCTGCCGCCCCCACTCGCCCTTGCAAGGCCCCCGTCCCCACTGCACACGCCACTACCGGATCCAACATCCCTCCACGCCCCCTCCTGCCCTCCATTCCCTCTCAACCCGCTGCTGGTGCTGCCATAACTGCTGCTGCTGGTGCTCCTAGTGGTGCTGCTACTGCTCATTGCGTCGGTGGTGGTGGTGCGAGACTTGCTGCAGGCGGCAGCAGCAAGGATGGAGTGGCGAATGGAGGAGTACGGGAGAACAAGGGTCTGCAGAGAGGAGCAGTTGGTCAGGAGAACACGGCCCAGCCTGCATCCTGCTGCTGCTGCTGCTGCTGCGGCTTCTGTTGGCAGTGCTGACGATGGCGATGGCACCACTGCTGATGCCGTAGCAGCTGCACCAGCAACGCCTGCAGCACCAGCAGCAGCAGCAGCGGCGGCGGCAGTGTCGGCAGCAGCCGCTTCAGCAGCAACGGCTGGGTGTTCAAGCACTCGCACCTCTCGAAGCTGAGTGCACCCGCGGCAGTCCAGCAGAAGCAGTGATGCGGCCGGCACAACTACCAATGACAGCACAGGACATCCTTCTAGAAGCACTCTCCTTAACTTCCCATGCGTTACAGGCGGTAACCGCACGGTCTCGAGTAACGCGCAGCCCCCACAGTTGAGCTCTTCTAGATCTTTGGCGTGAGTGAGGAGAGTAGTGAGGGTGGAGGCAGGGAGGGAGCGGCAGAGGAACGCGTTCAGGGATGCTAGAGACGGGCAGCGGTCAGCTGGGGAAAATGTTTCAAGGGAAGAGCACTGGGAGAGGATGAGGGAGGAGAGAGCCGGGCAGATGAGGGAAAGCGAGGAAAGTTTGCGGCAGCCCGCGAGGTTGAGAGAGCGGAGCGAGCGCGAGTGGATGGTAAGCTTCTGAAGAACCGGGCAGCAAGAAAACGAAATCTCTTCGAGCGGGCAGGAGTGTGGGAGGAGGAGGGTGAGAGACTCCAGTAGCGGCAGATGAGAGGCAGTGAGGTGACGGAGAGCAGAGAGAGAGTGAGGCAAGTTGAGGCCTGCGGAGGAAATGAGGCCGCAGCAGGAGATGTCGAGCGAAATGAGGGAGGAGGCGATGAGAGGGGCGCGTAGGAGTGTTTGCAGGCCACGGTTGGTGATGAGCGGACAGTCGGATATGTTTATCGATGTGAGGCCGCGCGGGGAGTGAGAGGAGTGTGAAGAGCGTGGGTTAAAGGAGGAGGAGGAGGAGGAGGAGGAGGAGGAGGAGGAGGAGGAGGAGGAGGAGGAGGAGGAGGAGGAGGAGGAGGAGGAGGAGGAGGAGGAGGTGGTGGTGGTGGTGGAGGAGTGGGTGAGGGTGCAAGAGGAGAGAGCGGCATTCAAGGCTGCTGACAGGTGCTGACTCGTTACTGTCTGCTGCCGCCCCTGCTGCTCCCTTGCTGCTGATGCGGCTCCAGCATAATCACTTGCTGCTTCTGCCGCTGTTACTGCTGTTGCCTCTCCTGTTGCTACTCTATCCTGTTCCTCTCCCTTGACTGTCATTCCGTTGCTTTCCTCCTCTACTCCTGCCTCCCTTTCGTGCTGCCCCAGCCACGTCAGCGCCACGTCAGTCACCTGGCGGCATGACGACAGATCCACGGACGCCAGGCGGCGGTGCAGGGCGCACAGACACGCCACGTCAGCGTCGTTGAGGTGGACGCAGCCAGCCAATGAAATCGACTGAAGGGACCTAGTGGGCTGCATAACCACCCCTTCAACCACCACTTGCTGCCGCTGCTGCTGCTGCTGCTGCTCCTGTCTCTGCCTCCCCACACCTCCCCCCTCTTTTCCTGCTTCCACTCCTCCTGCCCCCCCCGCCTCCGCTCCCCACACCTCCCCCCTCTCCCCCACCCCCGCAGCAGCAGCAAACACGGCGCGGAAATCCATCTCACAGCGCCCCAGGCGCTGCAAACTGAGCGACTCGAGCCCCCCGTGCGCCCCGACCAGCGACGGCGCGGCCCATGCGGGGAGGGTGCGCGGAAGCGCGAGGTGCTTGAGCGCCAACCGGCGGAGGTGGATGAGGTGGCGCAAGTGGCGCGAGGCGCAGGCGAGGCGCGCGAGGGAGGGGAGGTCAAGCGCGGAGAGGATAAGATCTTGGAGGTCGCAGGGTAGCGCGACGAGCAGCGGCGCGCCGCCGGGGGGAGACGTGAGCGCGGGGGACGAGGAGGAGGGCGGATAGGGATGCGCGGAAGCGGGCTGTGCGGAGGATGATGACGGGGGAACGGCGAGTGGCGGAAGGGGAGGCGGGGAGGAGGACGTGGATGGGCGGACGAGAGGAGGTGCAGCGGGTGGGGTCATGGCGGAAGCGGAAGCGGAGTCGGAGGAAAAGGCGGAAGGGGAGGCGGAGGGGAAGGCGAAGGAGGAGGACGGGGAGACGGGGTGGGGATCCAGACTAACGTCGCTACGCTGCCGCTCCGTGCGCTCACTCCCGATACTGTCACATCCAGTACTGTCAACGCGGTTGGCCAACCCTAAAAGTGCTTCTATCGAAGCCTCTAACGACCCCCGGCACTCGTGATAGTACACGTGGCTAATCTCCGCGTCCGATACCGCGCCGCCGCCAAACATATCCCTAAGCACGTTAATCTCCGACTGACCCTGCTCTTGATTCTGATATGACTCGCGAGTCGCTGTCTTTAAAGCCGACTCGGAAAGAGATCTACGGGCCGCCGCTGCGCCATCGTTGCTAGCACCAAATCGGCTCGTTGCTTCCCTAGCGTAATGGTCTGCCCCCGTTTCTGTCTCCCCCCGTAACTTCACACATCCGCCTGCTCGGCGCGTTGCACGGCTCCCTCCTCCCCCTCCTCCCCCGCCTTTGCGCCTCCCTCCGCGACCTCCGCTACTGCTTCCGCCGGCAGCCGCGCGTCTTTCCGCCCATCTGGCTCCGCCCGCGCCCCTCACTGGTGCGTTTACAGCAAAATCGTCTTCCCCGCTTCCAAACCCGTCCCCTTCCCGCTCCTCCGCTGCTCCCCCCTCCTCCGCGCTCGCCGCCAGCCCGCTCGCGGCAGCAGCGCCCGTGACTCGGCGCCAGTCCGACAGCCTGTTGCCACTCCCGCCGCCTTGCCTCGGCATGATCAAGACCGAAGAACCGCAACCCCGCAGCGCCGTGTCGAGAGAGGGAGAGTCTAGCCGTGTGGAGTCCACACACAGTTGCCGTACACCAAGGTGGATTGAGATGAAGACGACTGGCTGGAATGTCTCAACTGCAACCCGCCCGGTGGGAATCGGTGGAGAATTTTAGGTTTAGGGCGGGTCCAGCGCGTACATTTTCCGTACATTACAGTTCATCTAGTGCGGTAATCTGTATTTCGTCACGGTTCAAAACGGTGCAATTTCAAAACCACTGTGCACCGCCTGTTATCTTTTCAAACCTCGACAAATGAACTGTATAGTACCTGTAAACGTACGCGCTGGACCCGCCCTTAGGTCGAGGGATGCACCCCAGCCCTTTCATGTTGAGGATGGTTCGTAGTGAAGCACAGTGCTTGTGACACAAAACATTCCCAAATCCCAAGAAAAGTACAAATGACCGCCTGTTATGAGTGCAATTGAGTGAACGAACGAGAATTGCACTATCGAAGCAAGAGTCCAATGAGCGAAGGCATGAGCGAAGAATAGATAGCGAAACTACAGTGGTAACGGTAATGGGCTGTGGTTGTCGCGCGACGGGCCTGGGACTGAGGTTGGGAAAAGTGTCGAAGCGGAGGCCCGGAGCGTGGGTTACCCGCCGAGCCGTGAGGTCGGGGTGCGACGTGCGAAGGTGGCGGGTGGATTGTCGATGCGAGGATTGCGAGTGGTAACGGTGCTGACTGTGGTGCTACAGTGATGTACGCGTTGAGCAGGATGCGAAGTAAGGAAAAAGAGGTTTTCCTTTCACTACCCCCCCCCCTCTTAAGGAGGTCCTCCTTACGAAAGTGCGTGTACATCCCTGAAAATTCGGCTGCGCAGATACTCGGTGAGGACGGGGTGGTTTTCGATTCTGTCCAGGGGAACCCAATTATCTTCGGTGGGTGTACGGTCCTTCCAGCGGAGTAAGAATTCGATCCTTCGGGCTCCTCGAGGGTCGCGAACCCTGTGACTCAGTATTTTTTCGGGGGTGATGATCGGTTCGGTTGGTGGTCTGGTCATGCTAGCTGGGCGATTGCGTGGCAGTTGGCTCGTGGACGGGACGTAAGGGCGAAGCAGGCTGACGTGGAATGAGGGGCTGACGTACCAATCAGCCGGGAGGAGGAGGTGGGCGGTGACGGGTGTGAGCATGTGGCTTATGCGAAATGGCCCACAGTATCGGGGGCGGAGTTTCGGGGTGATGGGCAGTCGGAGATTTTGGGTGTCGAGCAAAACTAAGTCGTCTGGCTGATAAGTGACAGGTCTGCGGTGGCGGTCGGCGTTGCGTTTAGCGATGATGTTAGCTTTTTTGATTGCGTCTGCTGCCCTGGTCCGTGCTGCTTGCAAAATTTCGGCGAACTGTTGCGCGCGTGGGACCGGGTTGTCGGGATTCGGGGTCATGGGTACTGTTGGGTCTTGTCCGTAGTTCAGGTAAAATGGTGACTGTTGGGTCGTGGCGGATGGGGCGTTGTTGTATGCGAATTCGATGAGCGGCAGTTGCTGTTCCCACGTGTTTGGGTCGTCGCACGTGGCCCGGATGAGCTGTTCCATGGTCTGGTTTGTCCGTTCGGTCTGTCCGTCTGTTTCGGGGTGGTACGATGAACTAAACTGTAGTCGCGTGCCGAACTGTTGCCACAGGTTCCGCCAGAAGTTGCTGGTGAATTTCGTGTCTCTGTCGCTGATGATTGATGCTGGTATCCCGTGCAGTCGAACGACGGTAGAGATGAAGAGGCGGGCTGTTTCTTCGGCTGTGATTGAATTTTTGCAGGCTGCGAAGTGTGCCATTTTCGTCAGTCGATCGACGACGACCAGGATCGCGTCATTCCCACTCGCCCCGGCCGGTAACCCCGTGACGAAGTCCATCGTCACCTGCTGCCAAGCACGCTCTGGAGGTGGGATTGGCTGCAACTGTCCCGCCGGCCGCTTCCGTGATGACTTCATGATCTGGCAAGTGGGACACGATGCCACGTGTCGCTGCACGTCGGTCAACATTTCGGGCCAGTAATAATACCGCTGCAGCTGCTGCCGTGTTTTTTCTACCCCGAAATGTCCCGAGGTGACCTCGTCGTGTGCCTCCTGTAATAGTAATTCCCGTAGTAGTGTGTACCCTGGGACCCAGATGCGGTCGGTCCCGGCTTTTACGTAATAGACTCCCTTGGCTGCTGCGAACTGCTGCGAATTTCCTCCTGTGAAGAATGGGTCTGTTTGATATCCGTGGGTAAATAGTCCTGTCAGTAGCGGGTTGGTCTGGGCGAGTAGTATCGCGTGAATCTGGGCAGTGGGGCGGGTCAGTGCGTCGGCGATGTTCGAGGCTCCTTTTTTATAGGTGACTGTGTAGTGGAAGTTTGACTCGAGGAAATCGAGCCACCGAATCTGTCGCGGGTTGAGGTGGGGCTGTGCGCGGAGGTACTGTAGTGATCGGTGGTCTGTCCGTACTGTCACGGCTGCGACGGTCAAGTAGCAGCGCCACACTTTGAACGCATGCACGATCGCGAGCATTTCGCGGTCGTGTATCGGGTAATTTCGCTCGGGCGGATGCAGTTTTCGTGACTCGTATGCGATGGGCTGTAGGCCGTTGCCGAAGTCTTGTAGCAGTACGGCTCCAATGGCGATGTCACTTGCGTCTGTAACAACCTCGAAGGGGCGGTGTGGGTCGGCGATGCGCAGGACGGGCGGTGAACAAAGAACAATTTTCAGGGCAGAGAAGGCAGCATGCTCTTTCTCCCCCCACGTAAAAGCGACCCCCTTTCGCAGTAAATCGGTCAGCGGGGCAGTCAATTGTGCCATGTCGGGGACGAACCGACGCACATAATTAACGAACCCTAAAAAACTATGCAGCTCCGTGATGTTTGTCGGGGGACGCCACGCTTTTACCGTATCCAGCTTCTTTGGGTCGATTTCAACTCCAGCCTCCGAAATAACGTGCCCCAAAAATTATAACCTATCCTGGAAGAACTCACACTTGGAACCCTTGGTCAGTAGGCGGTGCTCTTCTAAAACCTTAAAAACCGCTTCCAGATCCACTAAGTGCTGCTGCTTATACCGACTGTAAACTAGGATGTCGTCGAGGTAAACGATGACGCATTTATCTAAGAGCGGCCTAAATGCCTCGTTCATGGTCATCTGAAAAGTCGCCGGTGCGTTGGTTAGCCCGAAAGGCATCACAGTGTACTCGAACGACCCGTACCTAGTCCTAAATGCTGTCTTGGCGCAGTCCGATGGTTCGACCCGAATCTGATGGTAACCCCCCCGTAAATCTATTTTCGAAAACACCCGTGCTGTTCGCAGTTGGTCGATCAGTTCGTCGGCGCGGGGAATGGGGTATCGCGACTTGACTGTTACCCTGTTCAGTGCTCTGTAGTCGATACACATGCGAAAACCCCCGTCTTTTTTCGGCGTGAACAGTATCGGTGCGGCGAATGGTGACGAGCTTGGTCGGATGAATTTTTTCTCTAACAAGTAATCTAACTGCTTCCTTAGTTCGTCGAGCTCGGGTTGTGTCAGTCTGAACTGGCGCTGTACGGTTGGCTCTGCCCCTGGTTCTAATTCGATTCGGTGGTCATGTGCTCGCTGAGGTGGCAATCCTTCCGGTAAGTCGTCGGGGAAGATCCCGGGGTACTGTTTCAACAGTTCCTGTAATTCGGGCGGTACAGCTGCCAGCAGTTTCTTGAAATCGCTCGGCTGCTCTGCGTCCTCTACTACTGCGATATCTACTGCGTACACGTCAGCTCCAGCAGCGACAGCCCGTTTCATTGTGATGGCGTTGACGTGCACCGCTGACGACTCGGGCGACTGCCAGCGAGGTAGTTGGACCCAGTTACCACCACGTCGCACGGTGCAGTTACCCGTCGTCCAGTCAATTCGCGGGTTATACCGTCGCAGCCAATCGCGCCCCAGTAAAATATCGTGCCCATCCAGTGTCGTTGCGAGCATTTCCTGTGTAAACCCGAAATTCCCCCCGCAGCGGACTTTGACTCTCTCTACCTTTTCCCGTATGGCCAGCGGCGTGCCGTCGACTAAGCGTGCGTCTATCTCCGGTAAGCAACGGCTAAGTGTCAGTTGCAGTTTTCGTGCGGTTGCGGTATTAACTAAACTGTGGCTTGCTCCTCCGTCAATAAAAATCTTCACTGCTGCTCCCTGTATTTTCCCGTGGATCAATACTGGGCAATCCGTCGCTGTACCCTCCTTATTCATCCGAGCCCGATCGATGGCGTGAATCGGTACTGTGACTCGGTGAGGGTCGGTGTGGTTGGGCGAGCAGGCAGTCTCGTCAGTAGTTGGCCCAACTTCTACTGACTGCTGGCGTTTCCCTGCCTCTGAGACCCCCTCCCCTGCTCTGCTCCGCGGCGCCTTAGCTCCTCTGGGCATTCGCTCTTGCGATGGCCCGGCCTGTTGCAAGCAAAGCAGCGCCCCTTAAACGGCGCGGCAGCTGCATTCGTCGCAACGGCGTTCACAGTGGCGTGCTCGATCGGTCCCCGAGGACGATGTCCGTAGTAGAACCCCGGTCTCGGTCGACGTAGGATGTCGATTTTCTCGGCGAGCGCGAGAATCTCGTTGAAATTCGAGAGCCCGCGTAGCATGATTTTGTGCGAGATGTCCGGTTTCAGCCCTCCGACGTAACGGTCCACCCGCTCCGCTTCGTGCATGTAGCCGACCTGCTCGCAAAGTGCGAGAAAACCGCTCGTGTAATCTTGAACCGATCCGAGCTGCCGCCAAGTGCGCAATCTCTGACGCGCCGAAATAGAAGCCGCGATCGGCTCGAAGCGCGCCCGAAGCCCTGCGCACCACGCATCCCACGTGCTGTATTGGGCGGTCTCGCAGAATGAACTCCAGGTGACAGCTGGACCCGTGGGCCCTTCCTCTTGCGACGGTGGCTCGTAGGCGCGTGGCGACGTCACGATGACTCGCCACCAGTCCATGGCGGGGCCCCTTAGCAGCGAAACGGCATACCGAATCTTCGCAGCGTC